CAAAGCCACAGCAGTGAACGTGATCGAGGACGAAGAGTACATGCTGTACGACCGACCTATGCAGAGGACAGGATTGTTCAGTCGTACGAAGCGTTGCGACGACGATAAGAAGGACAAGAAACGCGCTCGAAGCGAAGAGAGGAATAAGAACGTTTCAAAGGACTTCTCCATAGCTCCATCCCGGGCTTCTCCTTCTCCAAAGGGGGGCAAGGTGGAGAAGTCGAAAGAAAATGTCGACACGGTTGCCAATAACGTGCGTAACTCCCAGTCCAATAATACCAATGGAGAACAGAAACAAGGTAAGAAGCAGCACAAGATTCGCAGGAAGTTATTGATGGGTGGGCTCATCAAGAGGAAGAACAGGAGCATGCCGGATCTGCGGGAAGGGCAGGACGGACAGGCGAACACGAACGCGGAGGGAACCTCCAACACCTTGCCGAAGCAGTCAGTGGACGATTCCAGCGTTGGTTTGAAAGGGAACGAAGTGAACCAGTCGCTGAGCGGTTACTTGTCGGAGGGTCACCTGGAGTTCACCGGACAGGGGAACGGTAGTCCAGGCAGTACGAGCAACCCGAATCTGGAGAGAAGTCGTCTGATGAGGAAGAGCTTCCACGGCAGTGCCGGCAAAGTGTTACACGTGGCGAAGGTACCTCCGCCTCCTCCGCTCAGGACCACTTCTCAGCTTAGCAAGTCTAAGTGTTCGGGCGAAGTGCACAACGAGCAGCAGACCGAGAAATCCGCGTATCAGTCGTCAGAGGGACAGTGTACGAATAATTCATCCCAGGAGCAGAATGGGACCTACTGGAATCACGTGAACTCGGGGAACGCACCTGGAGGGGCTAACAGGACATCAAACTATACGGACTACTCGTCAGAGTCTCATTCATTGCCCTTTTTGCCATCGTATAGCATGGACCAGAATGGCGCGAATGTGCCAGGATCGTGTCAACCAGGTTACAATAACAAACCTAGGATTCAGGATGACGTGGTCCAGTATGCCAATGGAATCCTCTATGAACCCACTTTTGTGGTTACTCGAGCAGATGTCCACAATGAACAGAGCCCTGTGAAACAACAGAATCAACTAGATTCACTGCCTCCGTATCCTGAAAATGGGAACGTATCCCATTCCAGACAACCCAGTGAGGATTTCCCCCCTCCACCGTATCCCTCCATTCATTCTGTCTCCCATTCGAGGCAAGCCAGTGAAGACTTTCCTCCACCCCCTCCACCAATTGATGATTGCTCCAGTCATGTCCAGGAGAGTCAACAACAGTATCAACAACAGTATCAGCAACAATATCAACAACAGCAATACCAGCAACAACAAGCCATGGTCTCCATGCAACAGCGTCAATTGCAATTTGACAGTCAACACATCAACAGCCTGTTGACGCAGCTCCAAATGAAGAGAGATCAGATTTTGACTTCTGAAACTTCCAGGGAAGAAAAGAGGTCTGAGGATCAGGAGGAAGAGGAGAAATCCTCCAGTGAAACTTGGCTCCGTGAGCTTCAGGCTAAGCAAGCGGAGAGGAGGATGAAGAAGCAAGGTTCTCTGGACCAGGATATCCCAAAGGTCAGAGCATCGGGGCCAACCATCACAGGGCCCACCATCGCACGAAGAACCAGTGACTTGATGATGAACAGTCTCGGCCAGGCCTACGATCAGGCCAGTCGGGATGTGACTGATTGTCCACGCGTTGTTTCTTCAGTAAAGGACATGGCTGCTAGGTTCGAACAAATTAAATTACAGCCTGCACCTAAGACGGAATCGGAACAAAAGGTTCCAATGAAGCAGAATTGTGTTTCACCTTCTCCATTATTGGACCAGCCTCAAGATACTGAAGAACCAAGACCAATGAAGCTGTCGACGGAAAATCTGAGCAATTTTACGAAACCTGATGGTACCTCGGGTCAGCCCATCATGAACCCCAGCTTCGAATCCAGTTCCAGTCAGAACACTTTTGTCTCAACAACACCGCCCAACAGTTCCATACAAACTCAACAAAGCGGATTGAATCAAGCACTTATGTCGATGTCCTTAACCTTGCCACACGAAAATGGTCTACCTATTGATTATCCTGAAGACGACATCAGCGAAGTCGCCATGCAGAATACTATCCAGAACACGACGATCCTGCCGAGCGAAGAGGATATAGCACCCAGGAAGGTGAAACGACGAATCGGGAAAAAGAAGAGCGTATCGTTCTGCGATCAAGTGGTTCTGGTAGCCACAGCTGAGGACGATGAGAAAGACTCTTATATACCCAATCCCATCCTCGAAAGGGTTCTCCGTTCGGCGATGAATAAACCAGAAACTGCTCAAGTTCTTCGAGAGATAAGGAGTCTACAGGAAGCTGAAATGAATAGAGAGAACTGCACTGCTACTAAGTTCCAACAACAGACTTTACCACTGAAAAGTGAAGCTGACAGTGTTCCAGCGACCCCCTACCAAGATCAGCTGAGAAGCGTGAACCCTATACCAATTCCAGACACCATCAAGCCCACTTTTGGAAGACAGAACTCCAACGAATCTGTAGGGTCATTATCAGAAAAAAAACTGTGTGGTTTCAACGGGAACGAAGGGCAAGACGTAGTCAGGGAGACCTACACAGGGCTGCCTAATGTCTCCAAGCCACCAACCTCGTATTCTCCACAGCTTCAGCAGCAAATAAGATACTCCCAGAATGGATACATGCCATACTTGCAGTCCCAGTCATCGTACCCTCAAGCACAGACATCTCATCCAAGGAATCAAGGTATTCCCTTATCTCAGACACAGAAACCAGCTAGCCCGTATCCTACTCAACTCCATGGGCAATATGTCCAGAACAATGTACAGCAACAAAAACCAGTGTGTCAGAAGAACACCTACCAGACCTACTATCAATTGGAACAACAGCACAATCAGATGAACAAACAAATATCCCAGCAACAACAACAGCAACAGCAAAACATAAACCAGAGGATTGCGAATCATAATGCGAGTCCCATAACTGTTCAGCATTCTCAGCAACCATTTGCATACCCTCCAACTCAATCGCCAAGTCCTTATCCGAATCAGTACACCCATAGTTCCTATCAAGGTTATCCCTATCAGTCTGTTCCTCAACAGAACAGGATCAACCAACCACTGCCACAGTATCAACCTCCGCCCAATCCACCAGCTACCTATCAGCAACAGCAGAATGTTCAGAATTACCAACAGAGGCATGATAATTATCAGAGACCACCAGCTCAGAAAGGAGACCAACAGAACATCCTGGCACCTAACCAGACGTATCCAAATCAGTTACAGAATGGTCAGATACAATCTAATATGAAATATCCCACTTATCAGCATCCACCTGTGTCCAAACAGAGCAAACAGATGCACTTTGTGTCTGCATCAAAAACTAATGGAACGGTGAGTCAATCCACGTCTCCTTTGCAGAAAGCTGTCGTTGGGGGTGCAGCTAGAACCGCCCCCTGTCATCTCTGCAGAAAGAAACAGGTAACTGAACCAGCGATCTATTGCTCGGATTGCGACTTCTACATGTCTCGTTTCCGGCCGAAGAACTGAAATCATGTGTGTATTAGATGAGTGAAAAATATTCGTGAAAAAACTTTCTGGAGTTGTTGTAGAGTAGATACTGAAGTTGTAGAACAGTGCTGTTCGTGTTGGACACTAAAGCTTGGGTAGATTCCTCGTGTTTGTCTCTCTTATTATAGGTTAGGTTAAAAGAATTCGAAGAAGGATTAATGCAGCTGAATTAGTAATCATGTAAAGAAGCTACGATGGTAACTTTAAAACTTTTTTTTACTTTTAAGGGCTAGGTTTTTGAAGTCTAATTAATTTTCACCACAAATTGTTACTGTAAATTTATCCTGAACATAATTTCATCTTTAAAAAGTATTCTACTTTTTCTCATTATATTTCTTTCGAAAATATTACTTATTGTGAAATTATAATTAATTTTAGAAGAACTAGGATTCCTTCTGTTTTGTACAAAGTTAGAGTAGGTGTAAGTTTGTATCATTGATGACCTTCGTCGAGCAGCTATTAACTATGTATTCTTATCATCGTGTATCTAGCGATCCTTGTAATTAATTAGTTTGTAATTTACAATAGGGGAACGTATTATTACGCGTTTTTATACAGCGATCGTTGTTTCATGCTTTGTACCTTTTTAGACAGACTTAACCGAGTAAGTTTGTTCTTTTAAAATTGCGTTGTACATAAATCGTTTCGTAGTTTAAGTTCCTGTATAAAATCTTTTTTTTTATTGCAGCGTTAGGTTATAAAACCGGAGCGTTCTTTTTACTTTCTTTAATTTTAGGAGCACGTTTTAAGGCCACAGTTGTATTTCGTTCGAGAGACAGATTTGTCAGAATTGTGATACTAGCCATGCTGCATAGAATTTTATCCCATTTTAACGTAGAAACGATGCAGATAGTCGCACAAAAAATAGAAAAAATAACAAAATAATAAAAAAAAAAAAATGAAAGCGTATGAGGAATCGTGGTGGGAACATGATCTCTGATGAAAGCGTGAATTTTTATATTTTATGTTGATAGGCGTTGATGTTATATACATATATATATATATAATATACATTATGTACTTAACACGGTTACGTTTTATTGTACTATTGTGCACGTGCTAGATCGATGTACAAATCCCGGATTTTATACGTTTTTTAATGAGTATTTTGTTTTAAAAATACTTGATTTCCTCCCGTATGACAATTGAAATAAAGAGCTGTCAAAATATTTCAATACACGGTCAAAATGAATAAAAACACCTTTATTATAAATGATTAGGGAAGTTTTTAATAACTATAAACACGGTTGAAATAAATTTAATGAAGATATATGTTATTAACGTAGATTTTAATTATAAAAGTGATAAAGATACATCTGAAGTGAACTAAAAATTAAAATTAAATTAACTAATTATAAAAGTGATTAAGGAAGACCATATAGAAAAATACTTCAGTAAATTTATTAACAATAACCAAGAGAAACAAACTTTCAGTCATATTAAAAGTATTAAGTACATTATTTTGTTGTTTACAAATTGTATAAAATAGAGGTACGTATTGGAAAATTATTATATTATCCTATTTCTTGGTATAAAATTAATATTGTTCAACTTCATAAACTACATTTGTGTCGTGGGTTCATGGTACTATTTTTTGAACATCTGAACGTTTTTGAAAACGCGGGCATGTTTGATAGGGAACCTATTATACGATACTTTGGTGGACTGTGTTCATCGCTGTTGATCACGTCTGCTTCGTACTCTGGCCTCGTCGATGAACACCAGGACTATAAAATGGAATTATGATAATTAGTCGAGAAACATTTACACGATATTTGTTGGAATATATGATTAACACGAGTCGATTCTTTATCCACACCAAATAATATCGTCGAGTTTATTCTAACGTAATAGTTCTAAAGGTCTGAATAACAATTGACAACTACATACTCTATTATAGAACAATGAATTAAAAAATAAATTAAATCAAAATTAGTCATAAATAAATTAAATAAAAAATTTTATAGAAAAAAAGATTGTAAATTTAAATATTTGTACTTTTAATAATTTGAATTATAATGTCTTATTGACATTTAGAAGTTTATTATCAATGTTTTTATGTGTGACTTACATTGGCAAATGCTAAAAAGAATAATTCATCACTGGTAACGTATTCCAAACCAGGCAATCTTGTTTGATGCTTGTGCTTTGTGGCTGTTTTAAAGGCTGCATATGCTATTTGTATACCAATCGAATCTGCCAAATTTTCATCTTCTGTTAATTGTCCATCTACCTAAAATATAATTGCATTCCATTAGTTAGCAACGAATTAAGAGAAGTTCTAAGGGGGGCTATACCCCCGGGCCCTACTTCCAGGGGGCCCTCTTATAAGATATCTATTTACTATGTCAAAAAATATCAAATGAAATTTTTTTTACTGTTGCTTCCTTTTTTACGATTAAATGTTATTTAATTTTATTTAGAATAAATTTTAATTTTTTAACTAAGGGGGTCCTTGAAGGTTTGGAGCCCTGGACCCCAGGAACTGAGTTTGTTAAATATAAATTTTTGATTAGATAATTTGAATATTCGAAGTGTTTGAATTCCCTAATTCTAATTCTTCTAATATTTCAACTATCCGTATGATTTGAGGTTGAAATCTGGGTTCTGTTGTTATTTGAATATTCAAATATTTAAATACCCAAATGTTTCGATTTTTGTAACACGCCTAAGAGCGCTAAGTAATTAGCGGCCAAGGTGAGTAATTTTCCACTAGATGATTCAGAAGGTTTTTATTTAATTAGAAATTCCTCATAACGACTCGAAAATTTGCTGTTGATATTAACGAGATAATATACCTTAATGTAATGACCATGTTTGTCTGTGATATCCAAAGTGTAATTATCATACTGATCTACAAAACATTGTGCTTTTTCATCGTATTCGCCTGATGCATTCTGTGAATTCCATGAAATTTTATAGCCATCTTTGTCAAATTGTATACCTAACAAAAAAATTCACAGCTATATTTATAACACTTTTATTAAAATTTGTGTAGATATAAAAATAAGCAATTGATGTTTACCTTCGTTGTCTAAACTATGAGACAATTCGTGTCCAATTACAAATCCTGTGGTTCCGTAATTAATAGCACTAAAAAAAAGCGAAAAAAATTTTACAGTATCGAGCAAAGTAGACTTCTTTAGGGAAAATGGTGATACAGAGGAAGAAGGTATTCTCAAAATTTTAACTTTGACAATATTAATAGTAAAGGTGATTTAGAAACAAAATTATGAAATATTATAATATTTAGTATAGAATTAAGAAATACATATATAAATAATAAAATAAATATCAATTCCAATTCTTCCGCGCAAGTGCTCATGCGCAAGCGCTTATGCGCAAGCGTTTATGCGCAAGCGCTTATGCGCAAGCGCTTATGCGCAAGCGTTTATGCGCAAGCGTTTATGCGCAAGTGGTGGGGAGAAACTTGCCCGCCATCGTCATTCTTCCCGCGGCGACTTACGGGGAAGGTCGAGAGCCTGGGACTCTGCGACATCCCCACTTTTCTTGGAGAAACCTATTATGTTCGATGCTGTAAATGGTAAATATTATACATATGTATAAGAATACTTACTCTGGTAAAAGTGAAGTAAAATAAGGATCCTGCAACTCGGCTGCTGGTATAACTAGAAAGATGAAAATAATTTTGTCATTCAATTCAGTATATAATTACATTAATATATATAATCTATTCATGGTACTTACGTATCGCATTAACTATCGGAGTATAAAATGCATTAACCGTTATAGGATAATCCAACCATCTAAAGAAAACAATCAGTATAATTGAAAAATATTGACTTTTGTACTTAATTATTAATTGTTTAAGGGATACCCACTGATCTCTTATAACGATGCCTTTAAAATCTTTGAGACTTTTTATTAATTCAGCTTCTCCACACTTCAAAATATTTTCAAAGTAATCTGAACCTATCTCCAACTGTAGAATCAATGAAATTTTTTTGCGAATTATTAGTTATTATTTTTTTATGAGTAATGAATTAATATTATTTTATTCAGTCTGACCCCTTCATAATATTCAGTAACAGCATGATCGTCTTTGTACCAATCTGGGTATCCAATTTGTGTTCTCAAAGTATCCATTTTTTCCAGTAATAATAGTTTCATGTTGGTTGGTATCCAATGAGCCTGCATTATACGATGTATTAGCTCGTCTTTGACCCTTCGAACCATTCTTGTCGCCTTAAAAAAGTAAACATTGTAATAGAAATTTTCAAATTCATTTTCATATATTTGCGATTAATTAGCAAATAAATTGTACCTCATGGACAACATCATCAGAGATGTGCCTTTTTACAAACATGTAAGAAATCGCGTTTTTCATTCTCATATTGAACACACAAATTTGCCATCTGTGAATAAATTAACAATTTTTATATTTATTAGTAATTAGCAAATTTAAAAAAGAAGTGTTACATAATATACATAATTGCTTAAAAATGTTTATACAAAATTTTATACTACTCGACTGTTTCTCATTAAAGTAGCCTGTCGTTAAAGTAGCCTATTATCGTTAATTAAAAAAATAATAATAGTACCGTGGCATATAATTGGAAATATTGTACGACGATAAGGACATATTGAACTTGAGGTCTCTCATCTCCTCTGTGGTATAAAGTAAAAATTTGTCGACCATGTTCCATTGGACATAATTCACTGGAAAACGAAATAAATTGCGAATGATTACATGTCCAAGGAAAATGTTAAACAGGTAATGATAGCATTGATTATGGAAGAGGATAACGAAGACGAACACGTGGCATTGTTCGCGAATGTTTGTATAATTGCGACATTACCTAGTACACGTGGTGAGGTGTTCGCAAGCAACCTCGCCAGCTTGTGAAGGAATGCTGGATTATACACCACTATTGGTTCCGATGCGTTTATGCTTATGTTAGCCAGCATAAATGCGTGTTGTATCAGCTCCAAGAAGTTGATCTAAAAATATTCATCAATAGGCTATTCTTTAATGTCATTCATCATTGTTAAAAATTATTTTGATTTTCTATTAGCTATTAGAATAATTGCAGTTTATTTTCTTATATAGAGAATGTTTTAATTAAATGAGGCCACCTAAATTGCATCTCCTTCATTTTTCATGATATGAGAAATGTTCAAGGCACAATTTGAATGGTTTTAATGTAGTAATATATTGAAAAACAAAATGAATTTTTCATTTAAATAAATTTTGTGATTAAAACTTTCTTACATATAATTACATTAATTTTTAAATAAATTGAAACTGTTATTAAAAAAGAAATGACAATGATTTTGCATAAATTTTTTGCAAAAATTAAATGTACGTGGAAAAATTGATATTGAATTATTATATAAAAGAGTTATTTTTAGATGATCGATATGGTATTCATATATCTGTTTTCTTTGATAAATTGTGTCAACTGAATATTCAGTGATGGGTGAATGATACTGTGGGTCACGATTTTAGCGTGAAATAGAGCAGAAAGTATTGCAATGGACTGAAGTTTTTAGATTTCGCTTTCGTTAGACAATGTCATTATCATAAAACAAAAAAAATTAAATTAAAATTATTTATTCATATTATTTTTTTAATGTGAATTTAATTAGATTTCTTTTATTTAGTAGAACTGGCAAAGTTTTTAAAATGACAAATTTCAGATTATGTATTTTATTTGAATTAGAAAAATTGTTAGATCCTTTTGTTGAAATGTATGTTAACTTTCTTTCTTCTGTATCTATATTTTTTAAATTTATTTTCAATTTAAAAATAGCTAATATTCTAATACTTCAGTTGTTCTAGTGTTAATTCATTATTTTCCAGAGATTAAATTAATTAAGGGCTTAATCTATTTTAGGCATTAATACGTTAAATACACTGCTCCTAAAATAAATTTCTTTTAAATATCTAATAAGAAATGTCCACAAATAATGGTTTGATTTATCATCTAATGAAAACGTGTTAAGTAGAAAAGGTCAAGTAGTTTCAACCTGTTAAGTGGAAAAGGTCAATATTACAAACGACAACTTGAAATACTAGTTTCACTTCATAGTGATAAAAAAAACGAACTAAATTCTAATACATTCAATATATTACCTTTGCCGTGGAAGCTCTAACACCAGAACTATTATACCATTTTTGCAATTCTTCAATCGTCATCTTTTCGTAATTATCAGTCGTAGCATGAACTTCCTTCCCAATTTCAATGATCTACAGAAAAAAAGCATGTACTTCCATATTTATCATCACTAATATAATTTTCAATAATTTATATAAAATTAAGGAATAATTACTTGTAGCAAATCAATTTCAAAATACATCATTTGTGCGATATCTATGGCCAATTCGCGTCGATTCAACGTGTATCCTTTTTCTCGTGCAAAAACTTGAATTATGTGATAAATACTAAGAGCATACGAGTCGTCGTCGTAGAATAATTTATTTATATCCTTTTTATTTGAAAGAGGGTATTCAGTGTCTTGATCCAACTGTAATATTGCAGAGATATCGTTAACATTATTAACAAATATACCTACATTTTTTTTATTCCTATTAAAAATTGTCATTTTTGACTGTTTATGTCATAATAATTAATACGTTGACTGATGGGCAGTCAGCGTATTAATTGTTAATGAACATGTAACTTACTGTTAATACATATCTCTTCGTGTTGTTCTGATCAACTTCGTATTCAAGATTATAGAAAGCGCTATTACCGATCAGTCTCACATAGTCTTTATCAATTTTCTGCCAAGGGAATTTATCAGGGTCCCATTCGTTCAATGGCATCGCCATCGGCCATCCGCCAGTTTGGTCCAAGATTTCTTGAATTGGTCTGATGCCTCTCTTTTCAATGGCCTCTGTCGGAGCATTATGAATCATTATGAATCATAAGATTCCAGATTCTATAGACTTTAAAGGAGAAATATACGACAGAGCTTGTAATTGTGAAGAATAGAATGAATTTTGTCCCAGGCAGACAGTATTCTTTTTTTTTGAAAAGAATTCTTTAAAGATGAATGGACCTCCAGAAATATGAAGTAAAAAATAGTCTATTCAATATGTGTTTATATAAAATTGTTATTCACAGAAATTTTTTGATGTAGTTTGTTTTTTTAAATTCATTATACTACAAATATACCAGGAGCGTAGACAGCGGTGTTCAACGGGGGCAGTGGATCCCCCCTCCCATTAAGAAATTAAGAATCTTTTTTGTAACAAATATTGAAATATTATTTTAAATTTCAGAGAAATGTTGGAAGTAACAAATGAATATGTATTGGAGTTAATACATATTATTATGGTGACTAATTAGGTATGACAAAAATGTTTACCCCTCTATTAATAACTCACTAAATATGTTTAAATTAATTTTGTAAAGAGATAATTTTTTTATAATAAAAACTTTTGTTAGTGAAATTAGAAGAACTCTATTGTTGCTTATTATGATAGAAGTAGCAATTTAGCAGTAACGAAATTATATAGGAAGTCTGTCTGACTCATATCGTAGTAAACATTTTAAATATCAGGTTGGAACAAAAATAATTACAGTTTTTATTATTTTAAACTTCCAACGTGATTTATACTAATGTTTTTGTTTCCATTGTCTGCTCTTGCTTTTTTCTGAATGACAAATTAACACGATAATTAATATGGAGGTCATTGATGATCAACACGAGGAATTTAATATAATCAGATAGTTAAGAGAAAAATAATTAAATAAAATTATAAGAAAATTGAGACACTTAGAACTAAAGGAATGCAAATATTATTTATTGAAATTTTTCAATTAAGAATAAAAATAGATAGAAGTTTAGTAAGTTAGAAATTAATGCTGTAAGTAAAAAAAAATTGAAATTTGTCATTTGCAACCCTTAGTATCAAGGTATGAAAAATTTAAATTAAAAAATCAAATACCTAGATCGCGAATAATTGCAATTATAGTCGATAGCTAAAACTAATAACTTTTGCATCGATCTATTAATAGAATTAACTTACCTGTATTCATACAGGATCGATAAAGCTTCTTGGCCTTCTTAACAGGAGGAATATCAGTAGGATCGTCGCGTTCCTCAAGGGCATCTTGAAAGAGAAGGTTTAGAAATAAATAATTGTATGCAATTATTCTATCTGGGGAGTGTTTCTCTTTTCTGTCAACTGTACAAAATAATTTAATGAAAAGAACCTTTAGAAATTTTGAAATTTTAGAAATTTAGACTCTTAAAGTTTTGTAATTTTGTACTTCTGAAATTTGGAAGATTTGTAATCTTAGAATCCTGAAATGTGAGAAATTTTAAATCTTGAAATTTTGGAATCTTAAAATTTTAGAATGATAAAGATCTAGACTTTAGGGGGGGTAATCCAGATTTTTATAGGCACCAAATTCACCTAAGCCCCCACCTAATTGGGCCAATAGAAAATGTATAGTTCTTTACCTCTGATTTGTCTGTGTGTCTTTTCCATAACAATCTGGTCTTCTGACCATTCTACTTCGTTGTCTGGTATGGGGTTGTGCTTCGTCCATGACCCACAAGCGTGCTGGTAGAAATCTTCGCAAGGGTCTGCATTCAGGTCTCTGTTTTGCAAAATTTTCTTCGCTAGCATGACACACAGACAGTATTCCATTAATGAAATTAATCAAATTGAACTTCGCTCAATAATTAATTATTTAACCCTTTCGTTACATTATTAATTTTACAAGATAAACAAAAAAAATAATCTAATTATAGACAATTTTATTTTAAATTAATTTGTTTCATTTATTAATATATTTAACCCAGCCAGAGATTACGCTAATTAATTTTTAAAGAAACTTTATTTTCTAACTGCAGTTTAACTATTATTAAAAGATTTGATGATATTAAACTATGAATAAATAAATGAATTAAAATTAAAAACACATTTATCAGATACATTGATCTATAAAAGAAAAATCCTGTTACGCTAATAACCAAATAATTTACTTAAAATTAATACGGTCAATTAAAAAGAAAAACTCATCTTCATACTTATTCATCAAGAATTAATTTTTTTCTTAGAAACAACCGCTAATTTCATATAACGGTATCCTTGAACCTGCTGCACGATGAATCTTCAGTTTCATATATGTATAATTTGCATTGTTCTTTACATTCATCGTGTTTAAGTATCAAGTACAGTTTTATGCTCTACACCAGCGGCAGGACCCCTAGTCAAAATAGGCACGTGTCTAGGGCCCTGGTGAAAAGAGGGTCCACAGGAATAAGGGGCCTGATAGAAAGACATCAACTAAAAGTTTTTTCTTTTTCACTTAATAAGATATTAACTAATGGAATAGAGCAACAACTATAAACTCGTTGTAGCTGTCTTATATAATTCGTAACCGATTCGCAAGAAAATTGCAACTTATGTAAATGTTACGTCACGAGCGTAAACGTACCGATCTCATTGCAGTACGAGGTCTCGCAAATTCTGTGCTCTCGATTTCTGTAGTAGTCGTGATACAAATGTGATTCAGTACCATTCGTTACGGTCAACAGCCGCGAAATTTTGGCCACCGAGAACGAAGCTGGCAATGCAGCTATCACTGTCAACTGACATCTGCGACAAAAAAGAAATCAGCTTTGCTTGATATATGATCTCGATAACGTGTTGCATTATGCATGGTTCATTGGTACCATTTTGATATAATTTTATTAGCGAAAGAACGAAAGTTAGAGAAAATTCTGAGGTGCATTATAATTTTAATTATTTTAATTCAATGATTTAAGGTGTTCGAGGTAGATTTAGGGTCATAGATATATGTAACAATTACATTAACGTACATAGGCCCCCTTGCTCCCTTCATCTGAAACGTGGATTAGGCTTCTCATGATTTTAATATCCTAGGATCTTAAGTTCTATAATTCTAAAATTCCTAAATTCCAAAATGCCAGAATTCTAAAACTCAAAAATTCTAAGTTCTAAAGTTCCAAAGTTCCAAAACAGAATTCAAAAATTCTAAAATTCTAAAATACTAAAGATCCTAAAATTCAAAATCCTAAAGTCCTGAGATTCTAAAATTCTTAAAAATTTCTTTAACTTGTATATTAAAATGGTACCAACCCCCATAGGCCCCAGCATTCCCATATTACGTGCACTGTTTCCAAAATTCAATTTTAATTGTGCAAGTAATTTGAAATATAATCGATACACAGTCAAGAACCACCGCCACAAATAAAGAGTTAATTTATCCTCAATCACTTAGATCACTTACATTAGCGACAAGAGCTGCATGCTTTTCGAAGGAGTGAAATCCTGAACTGATCCGTCGGTGTAAATAAGCATCTATCCAAAAGTGGAGGAGCTGACGTCTTTTTCCCGGGGAGCGAGACTGTTTTTGAATTGGTCGAAGCCGATCGCTACGCAAGGTTAATTTATGAATAATCTCTCGTGGGATGAGGAAGGTATCAGTAGACGTGTAAACGTTAATTGATTTCTTGATCGTCACGTTCCAACATCCAGATATCGAGGAAAATGAGTCAATTGTATAAACATAACAGCGAATAGAATTAATTTATTCAGATGATTTCATTACTCTTGCATTGAATCACTTTCCTGCATTTCCTTAAAGAAAGAAAATTGTTACAGTACACGAAAGTACTTTTAAAAACAAATAATTAGTAATTAATAATTTTCTGTTCTTTTCAGATGAAAAATAATAGACATTTTTATTCATCATTGATTGACTCGTATTATTTTTATTTTATACAGCAATAATAAATTAAATAAAATATAAATCTGATTAAACAATTTGTGTTTTCATACGCTATAAATTATTTCTTACCTGAATTTATCAAATAATTATGATTTCCTCAAAACTGTGTGACAGTAAATATTTCTACAAAATATACAATTGTTTTATCATCCATAAATTATTTATTAAAAACGATCACGTTACAATGTATAGTGAATTGTAACGAATTTTAATTTTTCAGTTTATGAGATAATTATTTTAATTCGCAAATAGTTTCCGAGCTAAGAATTACAGTCTCGATATGGCTGACCAAGACAATCTTGGTAGCTCATTCTACTGCATTAGGACAATAGTGAAACACCTGGAAAAAACTTCCTTCTAGCTGTCTTTTATGGACAATAGTGGGGTAATTGTTTTACGTGTATTATAGTGGGGGTAAAACAACCTCGACTTCATCAACAATGACCAGTTACGTTTGCATAACACTATTAAACCAGTAATGCAACGATGAGAGGTCAGTTGACCCTCTATTAAGAAATTAGAAATCTTCTTTTTAATATTTTGAAAAATTCCAGATAACGTTGTGAAGAATAAATAAAAATGAACAAGAATAAAGAAAAATTTTTTATTCCCCTGTCAGATAATTATAGTTACACCACTATATCAAACAATAGAAAGTCATTCATTTCTATTCCTCTTAATAGAAACACAAATTAATATTAATCGCATCTATTTTCACGAATGTAAGTGTTGAAAATTGAAAAGGTAATAAGATAGAAAGATATTAGGAAAAAAACTGAACATTGTTTAAGAAATAAATTAATCTTATATTGTCGAAAACGATACAGTTGTAAAATGTTGTAAAATCTTAAATACATATATAAAGCGCAAAGTTACAGAGGTTTCAATTTTTCTATAAAAAGTCTATGGGTCGCATATTTTAGCTTCGGGGTCCCTGACACCCCGGATGCCACATTGTCGATATGCAAAGAGAGTTGCCCGTGCTTCGGGGTCCCTGACACCCCAGATGCCATATTGTCGGTATGCAAAGAGCACCGTCGGTACTTCGGGGTCCTTAACACCCCAAGACGGTATCAGGTCGGTATGTACAGAGCGCCGCTAGTGCTTCGGGGTCCCTGACACCCCGGATGCCATACTGTCGATATGCAAGGAGTGTTGCCCGTGCTTCGGGGTCCCTGACACCCCATATGCCATATTGCCGGTATGCAAAGAGTGTTGCCTGTGCTTCGGGGTCCCTGAAACCCCGAATGCCATATTGTCGATATGCAAGGAGTGTTGCCCGTGCTTCGGGGTCCCTGACACCCCGGATGCCATATTGTCGATATGCAAGGAGTGTTGCCCGTGCTTCGGGGCCCCTGAAACCCCGGATGCCATATTGCCGACATGCAAAGAGTGTTGTCCGTGCTGCGGGGTCCCTAACACCCCAAAACGATATCAGGTCCGTATGAAGAGGGCACAACCAGTATAATAATCGTCCTCTAATTTCTTTACGGAGTTTATTTAATTTCTACCTATTTAATTTCAACCTATGTTTTGTATTTCTTTTATTTTGTCGTGATTGAATATGAATAAAAATATGTTGTTATTTACCTTATAGATTATTTATTCATACAAATACTTTGACAAATACATTATTGTATATACAGGCAATTCATTTTGATGCGATTAATAGTATTTAATATACCGCATTTAGTAAAATTTAACTTGTTACATCAAAATTTTTAATTCTTATTGTCATTATTATGTTACAGCGAGGCGCAAGTTGGACACTTGCCATAGGCGCTTCATACCCTCGTTACTGCACTGTTTACGGCCACTGATTCGGGTAAAGGTAGTTGGCTGTGACAACGTTGTCAACCGTTCGACCTAGAGCGAAGTGAAACCCCCTCAGTTTTATAGGGACCGCCGAGGGGAGCGGATCTACATATTAAGCATACATATACCCTTATTTTATTTTATGCTTTTATTTAATTTGCTGTATTTATCTTCTATCTTATTGAATAAACTTATGAAAAGGATGAACGTGTTAATTCTATTATTTCTGTGTGCTTAGTCTATTATTTTATCCTTTTATTTACTATTTTACCCCTATTTGAGGGCCTCGCGGGGCTCAATCCTATATCCCTTATACCACTACATTCCTTACATCTCAGTATCCTTTACATCTCTGTATCTCTTACATCTCTGCACCCTTACATCCCGGCATCCGTTACATCGCTGCATCCTTTATATCTCTGCATTCCTTACATCCCAGAGTCTGTTACACCTCTGCACCCTTACATCTCCGCTTCCTTGAGATCTCAGCATAACTTACATCCCTGCAACTCTTACACCTCTACGCCCTTACATCTCCGCATCCCTTACATCTCTGCATTCCTTACATCCCAGCAACTCTTACACCTCTACGCCCTTACATCTCCGCATCCCTTACATCTCTGCATTCCTTACATCCCAGCAACTCTTACACCTCTGTACCCTTACATCTCCGCATCCCTTACATCTCTGCATTTCTTACATCCCAGCAACTCTTACACCTCTGCATCCATTACATCTCATTGTCAGTAATCCAGATATCCCCGCATTGCGCCCTCTGGCGGCAAAAATGCGAACTAAATTTTCGATGTCGAATCAGCGCCATCTGGATGTGAAAAAAGGAACTAAACCTTGCTATGTTTTTGGCCCTCTGGCGGCAAAAATGCGAACTAAATTTTCGATGTCGAATCAGCGCCATCTGGATTTAAAAAAAGGAACTAAACCTTGCTAAGTTTTTGGCCCTCTGGCGGCAAAAATGCGAACTAAATTTTCTATGTCGAATCAGCGCCATCTGGATGTGAAAAAAGGAACTAAACCTTGCTATGTTTTTGGCCCTCTGGCGGCAAAAATGTGAACTAAATTTTCGATGTCGAATCAGCGCCATCTGGATGTGAAAAAAGGAACTAAACCATGCTAGGTTTTTGGCCCTCTGGCGGCAAAAATGCGAACTAAATTTTCGACGTTGAATCAGCGCCCTCTGGTGGCGATAAAAGGAACTAAATTTTTTCGAATTTCCTTTCTTAATTATATATTTAGTTTAATTATAAGGGTATAAGGGATATGCAGATGTTAGGATTGCAGAGATGTAAGGGACGCAGGAATGTATGGAAAACAGTGATGTAAGGGATGCAGGGATATAAAGGAAACAGCGATGCTAGGAATGTAGAAATATAAGGGTTGTTTGGATGTAAGGAATACAGGGATATAAAGGAAACAGCGATGCTAGGAATGCAGAGATATAAGGGTTGTTTGGATGTAAGGAATGTAGGGATATATAGGAAACAGTGATGCTAGGAATGCAGAGATATAAGGGTTGTTTGAATTTAAGAAATGCAGGGATACAAGAGATACGGGGATAAAGTGATTTAGGTGTTGTCTCCGCGAGGTCCGTGAAAAGAATGAAACAATAAATAACTGCAAAGGCAAGCCTTGGGCCATAAAGTGGATTACGATAATAAATAACTGGGATTAGTGGTCCCCACGTAGCCCAAAAAGAGAAATAAAATAATAAATAATTTGGAGGTGTGGATTTGGTCCGTAAAGAACGATAAAATAATTTATAACTTAACAGGGTAGGCTTAGGAACATAAAGAGGGATAAAATACTAAATAAGTGGAAAGAGTGAGCCGGTATCCATAAGGAAGGATAAATAATAAATGACTGGACAAAGTGAATCGGTGTCCATAGGGCAGGATAAAATAATAGATATTATAAAATGGATGGTTGCTCGTGGAATAAAATCATAAACTTTATTTCCCTATGATGAGCTTGTTTAATAAGCGAAAAAATAAAGTAAATGAAGTAAAGTAAGTTAAATAAACTCGGTAAGGAAATTGGGTAAATTAAAGTAATAACTTATTGTCAGTTGCTTTTTTAAAATGATTTATTGACCAAGCCAAAATGGTAAACAAATTTTTTTGAGTCACCAAAAACCATTCTCACAAAAAGGAGCTTATTAACACCGACGAGAGACACAAGACAGTCTCTCGTCAGTGCTTGTGATAACAGTCAGTGAAAGGTGCGGTAAAATAGAAACTGGTAAAACAGGCACGATTGTCATACCGACTGTGTTGCGTATATACAGATCTAACTGCGCCTGGGGGTGTTTGGGACCCCAAAATCCTCGAGAACAAAAGCACGTCCACTCTTGCTGGATCTGTAGTCACTGCCATTGGTGAAATGCAAAAATTCCTTCTGAGCCCTTAATACTAGATGGTGCCACATGTTTTTCCCGCTATAGTGATATTTTTAAAATATACATTTTTTACTAAATTTAGAAATAAGGTCTCGTACGGAAGAGAATATCATTCTACATTTTTAATTTACTTTATGCTCTCCGTCATTTATTAATACACATCAATTAAGGAGTTTCTTTTGTAAATATAAACAGCGATATTAATAAATAACAATTGATTCTTAAAAATGTAAAATTCGAATATTTTGCAATGACAAAATGCAATAAATATAGAAGCGTATTTCTGAACACTCTACATATATTTTATCTAGTTGTTACTTACACAATAATAAGCAAACACAGTTTGATTGTAAAATATTAAAATCTATGTAACATTTAATTGAACCAATAAATTTGTATTTTGTTGTTCTTTGAATATCGTTCATTCTTCCAAACACTTTCCTTTTCACGTTACAATTTTGGTACGAAAATACAGACATAAAAAATGCATTCAAAATTTCCATTTACAATTATATTGATCTCAAAACTGATTTGCAACCTCGACACTTACGTATAAACTTAATAATAATCACAGCGACATACTTATATAAATTCGTAAATAATAAAATTATTCGTAGGAACGCAACGAGAGGATCGTTCGAAAGAAACGTTCTTTTAATCAATGAACAGGTTTAATTAAACAAAGTTATTATGATACAATTACAAAAGGAAAGTCGATATGAGAAAATAAAGATACACGCGATCCGAGACAATATAAAAATTTACATAATACAAATATAAATACACGATCAAACTTCCATTATTAATGAATTAACAATTTTTTCGATGATTCTCATGAAATATCTTTTAGCAGCATTTGTATCAAAGGTGTAAAAAAGTTATAAAATTATAAAAGTGATCGCCTTTTATAAACATTATAAAAAAAGATAAACGAAGACAAAAATAAGATATGTTATAGGGATTGAAGATGATAATATTTTTAATAATATATTATACCGTCAAATACAAAATTAGGAAATTTGATTTTGTATTCACGAATAACAAGCATAACAAACGAAATACATTACCACATAAACTTTATTTTATTTACAAGTATTATTGATTAAAAATGATTTTCCGTATCTTTTTTTATCGATTAACGAAATAATAACATTACATAGCCCAACATATACAAATAACAAAAAATCTAATACGTGAATATAATACAAATTAGAAATATGTTCGTGAAATATTTTACCGGGTAAAAAAGATTATATCAATGATGATCGAAAAATTTGTTGTTCCTTGATATACAAATGATTCGCGAAGTTTCATTGAAAGTTGAATGACTTTATGCTTTTGATGATACTATAAAAACAAAAACTAGAAAACAAATCAAGATGAAACAAATGATATTTCGCCCTATAAGTAGCAATAATACAATCAAAATATTTTACACATTCACAGATTTTTGAGCACCTATGTTAATTTATGAATTCATTTTTCTTCATATAATTATACAATTTTGCATGTTACATCATTATTATTCTTATATTCATTTTTTTTTTTTCATTATCATTCTATCGACTTAACATTCCTCAATGATTAGCAACATAAAATCGCCACAAATATTAAATTATTCACAATTATAACAGCGATGTAGTCCATCAGTCTTTCTCTCATTTCAATATCTGTCATGGTTCATTTCTTTTATGTTCGATACAGTATATGTATGTAATTCTTGTGTCTGTGGTGGTTTTTAAACACTCATGAGACTGAAGAGCATAAATAGCTAAATATCGTTTATTCTGAAACAAGTGTTATTCTACATTGCATATGAAATAAATTACTGTTATAGAGTAAGAGGAAAAGACAGCATGTTGGTCCTCTTTTGATATTTGATGTTATGGTATATACACACATTTCAAGTTCCCATGAATGTAGAATTAACTTATGAATTATACATAAAGGTTATTAGAAACGTTGCAATTTCTAAAAATGATCAAATCATCCTATCATCGAATACTAAAAGAGTACATCATACTACTTTATACATTCTGAATGTGAAAAGTTCCTACAATTATTTTAAGTGTACTTTTATTCTTCTTAATTTACATTATTGTTTAGCAATTGGACGACTTTAATTACAAATACTTGGTTTAGTTCTGCGGTATCAAGTATACCAACTATATTCCTGGAGTAAAAGAAAAATATTTTAACACCTCCCACAGACACTTGACGATAGAACATTTCTCTTCTACCTTTGAATCAATGATTTATGTAAAAGTGAACGTAATTATATGACACCGGAGTAAATTCTTCTAACAATGTGCCGTATGTAATCAAGCAATATCAGCGTACAGCGTTATAATTACTACTCTCTTTATGGTTGATAGATGTTTTAATTTCATTACAAAGCAGAATCATCTTTACATTAAGAGCACTCAACTAACCGTGCAAATACATGGACTATAGTTTTCCTTAAAAAAAAAAGAATAAAAATTGTTCAGGTAAAAATGAAGAGGATATCAATAAATTCGTAATAATTGCATTAGGGATAAGAGACACTTTCATCTATCGTCTCGAGGAAAAATTACCCTTTTCTTCCTAAGTGAAACATTTTTGCACAGCAAAATATGTTTTATATGTAATAATTCTGTTAACAGTATCAAATTGATTTAATCACTCGCCTCGTTTAATCGAATAATGGTGAACATGATCAAATTTCAAATATAAATAAAATCATTTGCGCATATACCTACTATTATTGCTCCAAAACTACAGCACTGATATAAATGGGTCCAAAATGTTGATCATTGTGTACAATTGTTCTTCATCACAGGGTATAATAAATTTAAGTATTCCACCCTAAAATGAATCCTATTTATTTGCTACATTCCAGGTTAATAGATATTTTGAAATTTCCCAAAAAGTGTTATACTATATGTTAGTAACATAAAATAGGCCATATTCATAAAAGCAAGTAAAAGCTTTTATTAGAAATTTTTTTTTGAAATACTCGATTACATAAATGATTAAGCACTTACTAGAAATAGTATTTCTTAAATTTTCTACTTTTATTTATACTTCATACTTACAAACATTTGATTACCTTTATGCATACGACCCAATATGAATTTCCCAATTTTTAGAAAAATTAATTTGGTAATGTACTTACGATGCTACTTAACGGCGAGGATTTGTTTAAGATGGCGCATAAGGTGACTGCCAACATCGTGAACCTCAGGCCATTGTTTGAGAACGAACACTATTCCCAATACAACAAACGTAGTTGTTAATATGCGCACCCTGCACATGAAACAATGAGGCTTAGTACAGCTGGAACAGAGATGTGAAAACGAAATAAAAGAATGAGTGCGCGAAATTAAAATCGAACGGTGATATACGTCACGAGGTATTATGAATAAAGATGCTGTATGAACATGAGATGTATGAAGGGATGATATAAAAACAAAGTATGAAGCAATGACGTAAGTATGAATTATTAGTCTTGAATAATAATTTGTATTACAATTATCCATTTATTGTAAAATAAAAAAATAGGTAAACAAGTTTTGAAGCTGGGAACATATCCCATGATTTGATTAAATAAAAAAATAAAAAAAATCACTCTACCTGGTCCTAAGGAAAGGCATCATTATACCAGCACCTGTTGCAACAAGAAGTAGAATAACTTGCAACACTGTTAATACTACATTTATGAGTTTAACAACCAACGCTCTCGCGTTACTGTTATCCAGACCCTCTAACGTCACATATTGCTGGTGCTGTAGTTGTTGGTGTTCCATTTTACAAATTTTAGTCTGACAACATTCCAGCATTTCGTGTATGTCTCTTAAACGATCTTCGCTTTGATATTGCACTTTTTCCTCCATGTCTGTTATCGTCTGTTTCAAATTTTCTACCTCGTTTTGATGGAGTTCAGTCAGGTCATTGATTTGTTCCTCCAAACGTTCGCATCGAAATCGTTCCTCTTGCAAAGCATGGGAAAGATATGTCACCTCTTGTTGTAGAGTCTGAAATTATATAAATATGAGATTAAAAGAAAAGAATATTTTGTTAAATACACAAATCATTGGTGACGAACCTTAAGACCCTCTAATTTTTCTTTCATCCTATCCAAGTTTTCTCTGTGTTCTTGTAACTCGGTGAAAATGGACTTAAGACTAAGTGCAGAATTATTATTACTAGGGCACGTGTGTGCTTGACCTCTACTACCGGGCCCACTTTCACTCGTGACGCTAGAACATTCTGAACCTTCTTCAGACGGAAATTTAATTGCCGCGGCACTGTGTGTCGAGCCCAAACTACATCCACCGGGAAGCGTTGCTGATCCGTGGTGTGCTTTTTCATCTTCAACACTAGCGTTATCTCCATTACCTGCACGCGGTGTATCGTTTACATAAAAAGTCGAGCCATCTGTAGAGACACAGACGTCGCAAGTTAGAATGTTATCCAATACTAAATTATTTTGCCGCTGATAACTAAGTTGTCTATTCAGTTATCTTTAATTTTTTTTTAAAAGATATTAACGCCATGCCGTTATAAATATTAAAATTATCAGCAACTTGGAAATATTTCTGTGTACAATATAGTTACATAATTCATTTAGAGTAGAATACATTTAAATTGTTGTGTATTTTTAGAGTTTGCATTTTTGTTCTGAATGACTAATTTTTGTTGTTGTATTGGATAACTGATGTTAAGGAAAGCGAATGTTTGACTCACGAAAGCCACTAAAGATTGCAAGGCAAAGATTATAATGCAAAATTATTAAATAACGCAAAACCATTATTATAAGTTAAAGCTTTTAAGTAAACACAACATTCTTGTGCGAAAATTCCCCATAAGTTAAGGTGTACACATATAGATTATTTTTTTAAATCATTGAAAATAAAATGAAATAATTATACACATAGGAGACGTAACGTATAGTTAAATAGAATAGAAAGATTAGGAAAAAGTTAGCCAAAATATTACTTACTACTTTCAACTGCCATGACAGCGCAAAATATTAAATAATGTTTATTGTTAAAGGTTAAAACAAGAAAATAATTACACTATAAACTACAGTACACATCTAATGCATGTATATACTTTTGTGTTATTGTAAATATGTGAAACAGTAACGTTTTAAAATAATAAATACATTATTGATTATGATTATAATCATATTGGTAGTGTATTTACATACATGTATATTATAAGTGAAAAGGTGTGCACAGTATTTTGTTTGTAATACTACAATTTATTAGCATAAAGCAATTTGTGCTCGGTAAAAGTGCTTTTTAAACACGAAGTATGTATTGATATCTTTAATACTGACTTTTTAAAAATGAAACAGAGTAGGACAAAATATTGTATTAATTAATTAAAAGATAATGTATAATAAAGTGCACTCACGTGATAAGGTGTTTATATTATCGGCACTACCGAACTTATTTTTTATCAAATGTGCAAATTCTCTTGGTTTTGACATAACACTTCTGGAACATATAAAAGGAACAAAGATAATTAATTGCTACAAGATAACAGCTGATTAAAAGATATATTAATCGGTCATTAATTAATTTACATCAATACTTTTTATATTAATATACTTCTAATGTACTGAATATATGAAATAAATAATAAAAGCTTAGATGAGATACAAAATTATATGCTTATAACTTGAAACTGAGAATGTTTGTAAGGAACAAGCGTTATTTCAAAATCTATTTTTACATGAATACTCACCCTGAAAAACCAGTAATTCCATCCCTAATATTGCCGCCTACATTTCTGGAAGTGAGTCTTAAATTAGATGAAAGTATCACTGTCTATACTTAGCAGAATAAAGGATAAACTAGAAAACAAGAAATGAATAGAAAAAAAAATATATGCTAAACCAATAATCTTTCTACTTTCTAATGCGAAATTAAAAGTGACTTTAAACGATATTAATTGCATATTAATGAGAACATGCTCAGAATATGTAATGCAAGGTGTATTTCTATAAATATGTCCTCCTTTTACTGTAGTGCTAATGTAATTAACATACTGTAGATACAATTGAAAAAAGAAAAGAGTATACTCACTTGAGTCCTTGTCCCATATCACGAAGCACTTCTCTAGGTTGCCTATGACTCGCAGGTGCTCCATTTAACTCGTAATTTTTCAATTTCTTTGTGTAACTATCCAATTTTTTTTGGAGTTGAGAAATACTGTGCGCTGATTTTTGATTCTTTTTCTCAAATACTGCCTTGATTCTATTTAGTTGTTGCTTGTCTGCATTAGCAGCTAATTTTAAATACTCATTAACATTTTCTGAAAGGAAACAAGTTTTACATTCGTATTTAAAAGTTACCATTCTAATTTAAAAAGTTACACGTTTGAGGAGTATGTTAATTATTGAAAATTACCATCACGGGTGGTTTGTTCTATTCTTATAAGCTCTCGTGTTTTAGCAATTTTATTTTGAATATGCTCAATAGCTTGACAAACACGAGCAGAGTTAGAGTCAACATCGTCTGTTATTAGCTCGGAGGAGCCATTCGATAGGAACGATTGTGTTGCGTGATACTGTTCCTGAAAATAAAGTTAATTTTACGTTAAAATAAATAAATTTTATTTACTTAGCCAAATAGTGTTAAAAGAAATGAAGTACAACTGACAAAACACATTCTATCGAATACAATACTGGGTAAAGCATACTTCAACGATGCACTCTGAATTCCTGAAGATTAAGATCTCTAGCTTCAAAGCCACTTAGAAAATTATGCAAATAACTATTTCATTTCTTAACCTATAACCCTGATTACACAGTTGTGGTTGATGACCTTGTAATACAGTGTAATTGTTGCTGCGTGCACAACAGCATTACATTACATAAGCAACTTTATATAAGGATATACAATCATATTTACTATTGTAACAGATATTCAGAAGGATATCTCAACAGGAAACCAGTTTATCTAAAATTATTCAAGTATATCACGCATTATATAAAAATGAGAAAATAAAAATACATAAAACGCAAAGAATATCAAGAAGTTTTGAAGCTATTAAGTTTGAAGTCATTTTACAATAAAGATGGTACATACTCCCTCATCATCAGTGGGTGGATGAATATTTGGCACAAACTCATCTTGTTCGGCAGTGATTTGATTGGTATTTGGATCATCCATAGCATCTCCTACTCGAATCACAGTTCCTGGTGATTTTTGCCTACTACCTTTCATACTGAAGCTGCCTCCACCGCTACTTCCACTGCCTGTACTACCCTCCCCTGTTTGGGAACTGTGAAGTTAGATTAATTTTGTACTATTCTCTTTTTATTTATTTAAGAACTTAATAATCATATTTTCAAGCACAAAATATGGAAATGTAAATTTAAAAATGTTTTCTCAGTTTTATGTAAAAAATACTACAAAAAAAAGGAAATATACAACTTAATCTTATTATGTACCAATATAGATATAATAAAATAATATTTACAAAAAGTAAGATCTTACAGTGAAACATTACGTGCTTTTGGAGTATGATCCAAGCTAGCTGATTGTTGTTGTGATGTCGATGTATTTCCTCTGTTGGGTGATGTACTGCGTGAACTATTCTTACTTGAAGCGGTTACCATCAAACTAGCCATTCCCTTATTTTCTGAAAAAGTGATTGCTCAATTATTTTGCTATTATTGTATTAATTTAAATAATACACTATGTATACATACTCAAGTGTGTCTTTTTGTTATAACCCTATATTAAATATACAAATAGATCCTTCTGATTAAAATTAATTCCTTCCTTAATCTGTTCTTCCAACATATTGCTTTATTAATTTAGATATCATCATTATCTTTCATGTTAATGTAGTAATCTTTGTTATATCTTATCACACAGTCATATTCTTTATTACAAATCAAAATTATTTATAAACTTTCTTTCATGATGTGTATAAAATGTATACATGTATACACAATTTAATGACATATGGCTAAACAAGATTTACAACTATTTATTAACTATATATATATGTTGAAACAAGAAATTAACAAAAAGATTAAAGTAACAAATAAATGAAAGAGTAAATTGCTGCACAAATAGTTCCATTTTACTTGACCTCTATATACCTATTTTGAGCTGTAATTTTCTCTGAGAGTGATATTATCTAATTTAAATCTTGTACGCATAGTGAATTATGCGCCTTGTCCAAAAATAGTATATGGAATATTTGGTACAATAAAAGTTATTGTTATTCGTTTGTTTATAATAAAAAATGCTCATCAATATTATCTAGTATAATTAAAACTTATAACAATTATTAAATTCAGGTAACAAAATTTTATAATTATTAAACAATGAAATTTAGTTGAAAATATTATTAAAAAATTTTATTCCGCATGAAATAACAAACAAGGGTAATAAAATTCGTAATCCCCTTGATAGAACGTCTGAGAAAGAATTACAGTTGATTCCTTCACATTCTATCACCTTTAACCCAATCCTTTAACTGATGAATCACCCTGATTATCATAATTAGACCATCGACATTGCCTTCGAAGCGTGACAAATATATTACGCGGAAAAAACGTGAGCAATGATAAACAAAAAGAAATAAACCACGTTTATAATTTTTATGAATGAAATAATAAAAAATTATTTTTCTTTTATCTATTCAATACAGTCATTTTACTTAATCACTATATACATATTAATTTAAATGTAAAATACTAACGATACATTGAAATTCAAATTTATTACAAAACATGATCTATACAATTACTAATTATCGTTATTTAATAAGGTATATTTAAAGTCTCTTAACGCTTATTTATTTAAAAAAAAAATAGATTTTATTACACAAAATTGTGTCGTGGTATGCAATAAAATATAAATACAAAAACTGCATTTTTTTTTGTATTCAAAAAGAAAATAAAATAAAAAAATCTCCCAAAATCTTCTGAACAGAATGATACAAATTCCGTTATGCTGCTGTTCTTATGTAAACTAAATACCTGTAACAATAACAGTACTGTTCCGTATGTGGATAAATCATGAGAAACATGCTGGCATTATAAAATTTTTTATTTACACTCATTAAATGTCATTGAAACGCTGTGTATTCGCAAAAAGCTAGCGGAAAATGTTGGAATACACATGTACTTATGCGCATCGACTAAGAATTGACGACACTCAGCAACCTGTGATATTACGTTACTATCGCAACTCATTTCTGCATATACGATACTGTTAGCAGTAGTGTAGGATCCATAGAGATATAGGATGCGATTGTTCCACCCCTTTCGTGTTGATATCAAGAAATGGGGTACGGGAGTGGAATAAAAACAAACGAACTGTCATGATTCCGCAGTTGTTTGACACACTCGAGTCGCAGAAATATTCTTCTGACATACCTTCTTTACCGTCTGATGCACGCGGTTCTCGGTTGAAGCATGTTTTGTTTAATGTAATCACACAGAAATATACAAAGATGGTCCTTCGCGTACTGAGTTGCCTCTGGGCCTTTCTGGTCAATCAAAGGATACACCGCCGTTGTTATCGTTTTTTTCACGGGCGTGTCATCGTTCACCGTTCGACATACTCACACTACCCGCAGCGATATTATCAAATGGAACGCACTGTGTCGTCCTTAGACACTTAATCGATGATAAACTCATTCAGAAACAGCACGAAACGCACACATAATGCGACACATTTGACGAAACCGCTTCGTTGCTTCACAACTCCGACAGTGGAATACGCCAAACGGCACACAGAGCAACGAACGTAGAGGTGGGGGTAAATACAACCGATATTACCACTTGCACAGAGTGATCTTTCGATTCCTAGGGATATTTCCTAGGGAAACATGATTCGTCGGTATCGCACTACCGTATCTATCGTGTACTGTCACAAAATACCATAAGTTCTTTTGAGTAATATCAATACCACACAACTATCCGAATGCAGGATTCACACTGAATTTGCCAATTACATATTTTACGCGATCATTAAAAGATTTGTTTGATGTTATACACAAAACTATTGAGGAATATAGTTTTATGTCAAACCACATAAAAACTTGGAAACATTTGTGACCGTGTATCCAATACGATACTGTCCTTGCAAATCACGGTGCGCTCGGGTATCTTCGGCTAGATTCGGATTAAACGAACACTGCGCAAAGAGAAGACGCATTTGTTGAGAATCATGATTTATTTTGGATTTCAAATGCATGATTCTGAAAGATATATGTACTCAACCACACATGTTCGCCACTTTATTATAAACTATGTCCGATATTGAGAGTCTATTGTCGTAGCACGAAATGAAAACTATTTTCACAAAAGTACGAAGTAACCGAAACTTACTCACTGGTTGTCACTTAATTTTTTAAGCTTATCAACAAGTGATCTGCTAAAGGAATTTCTATATTGAGGGCTAACGAAATCTAGCAAGCTGTAAGGTGTTTCGAAGTGTTCGTCGCTTTTTTGTGATCTATCGTCATGGTCATTACCAACGACGGCGAAACCGGCACTCGACAATTCTATGCAAAACTTCAATCCCTCTAAGGTGGTTAAATTCAAATACAAGAATTGGTTGTTTTGCAATTTCTCCGATACTTTTATGTCCGTTACATGGTGCTTCACGTCATCGATAATTGCTTGAGCCTCGATTTTCCACTGTTCCTTGTCCAATACTTCATTCGCCTCTTCCTTCATTCTCGCCTTTTGACAGCGTCGACGAGGGTCTTTTTTATCGACACATGTAATATTCTCGTTCGAATTGGCAACGTTACAGATATTCCGTTCAACAGACGTAAAATGCTGCACATTAAATGATGCTCACGTTTTACGTGTTAAAGTGGCACGTGGACAGGTTTTAGCGGGGGTCAAAGACCAAGATCAAACGATTATGTAATTATCTGGCGAAGAGTTTGTTTCTAAGGGATACACGATATCGCCGATATAATTGACGGTAGTGACTACGATCCGTGGTCAGTTTAGTCCTTGACACTGCGTGGTTATAAATTATGCCGTGCATTCAATCCCACGTAATCACCGGTACACGCGTACTCAAATATACTACGTGTACATACTGACTATAGAAATTCAACGCATACAACTTTTTCGTCTCTCGCAGCGCCATCTTGGAACATATCGCACAACTAACCTTGCCGCAACGTTAAATCCGTAAGCGGGAAAACTTACTTATGTTATTAGAAAATAAACGTGCACATATTAATTTAAATAATCTTCCAACTTGCTATTACATAAACTTACTCCTTATACTTTTTATGCAGTATTTAGTATATTCAATTAAATACATGACTTTGATAATTACTAAATTTCAATATCTAGATGATGAAGCATGCTTCAATTAATAAAAAACGATAATATCAAATCTGATATCTTTGCGTTCTAGTTACACAAGAGTTACTAAAGAAATGTGACCTGGTTGTAACAAGGCGCACTACCTACATCGATCAATTTCATCTGCAGACTGCATCACGTAATCAGGAGATACGTTACGACAAATTGGGGCACGACATTTTTTGCGGACTTGAAAGAAACCGGAAGTACGATACGACTTAAAGGAAGACCTTCACAGTGGCGGCAAATTTAAAAAATAATCTTCAAAATGATTTTATTTACGAAATTAAATGAACTTATTACCATAAACTTTGTTCACCAAATATCTTTTCAATAAATAAATTGATTTTATTGCTTCCAAAGATTTATTTTATTATCGAAATTGAACGGGTTCGATATATGAGGTGATTCAAGCGCTTGATTTATCATGAATTCACGCGATTGATTGCGCGTTATCGATGATAATCGATTCGATATCGAGGAGCGTGACAAGAGAACTTGACGAGGTTGCGACAGCTGCCTCAGCCACGAAGAGATGAAGACGGGCCAAGCTGAAACTGGGAGATGTGGGATCAGCTGCCGGAGCTGATATTGACGCAGATATTTAGTCACCTCGATCGTGGGGACCGTGCCAATGTTGCACAAGTCTGTCGCTCATGGAACCGTGCACTTTCCTCGCCAATTCTTTGGCGATCTGTAACTGTCCTTATCGATCGTGATCTGCGGGGTGACTTTCCTCTGGCGGGAGAATTAGCCGTACGCTTTTTTTTTTTTTTAAAACGAAATCACCATTCACATCATATTTATTAACAAATGCATTATGGTGTAAAAATGAATGAATGCTTTGGGTTCTTGGAGGCTAGGTTGCCAGTGGTTTCATTTAAAACGAACAAAGACTCACTGTTGTCGAGTTAAGTGCAGTTAGAGCTTGATAGAATGAATTGTTAGCTGCTGAAGATTCTATTGTATTTTTATTCTATTCTATTTTTGTTTCATTGATATTATTGTTGAATAGTTAAAATAAATTTTTTTCTCTTTAGACAAGATTTTATATATTTTTTTTATTGGTGATTGATTTTAAATTATATCTGATTTTAGACCAAATATGGACAGCACATGCGAAGCCTCGAACTCGCCTGGTCGCGACCTTATATTCTACCAAGAGAAGCTCGTATTACTCGCAACATTCAAGCGGAAGCAGGAGCTGATTTCCTTACAGTCATACGGGCTAAAAATGTTCAATTAAAACGACTGACACTCACCGATTGGATATTTAGCTGTAAATGGGGAAACAGAGGCAAACTGTTGTATGCCCTTGCAAACTTCTTAGGGTAACTGAGGATATCCTCTTTTTTAATATTCAAATCAGAGATCTAATTCAAAGAAGGTGTAGTTACATGGTAAAGTAGGTCAAGTTTTAATTATGAAATCATTAAATGGTTGAAATTCTTCGTGTAATACGTTTCAATGCAACCATTCAATGTATATGGAGTGATACCTTTTTAGAACTATGATTGACAATACAATTGCATAGAATTGAATATTGATTTTTTAAGTGGAAGATGCTTTAAATAGCTCTCCTCCTTTTGACTCTGGTACCATGTTTGATCCAAAAATTTGAGAAATAATTAATTTGAATAAGAAAAATGAAAATAAAAGATTTTGGAGGTGGTAAATTCGTCAATATCAATCTATGTTAAGGGGTATGCAAAAGTTTCCATCATTATTGGGGCTAGGATGGGCTTGACCCCTACTCAAAAATTTGAACCTTCACCATTCTAAAATTTTAAGATTTAAAAATTTTAGAATTCCACAATTATGAATTTCCAAGATATCAGAATTCCAAAATTTCGAAATTCTAAAATTTTTAATAATTAAGAATCGTATATTATGTATGAAACATTAATAAGGAAGCCGTCTAAGAATAGATGCAAATCTTTACATACTCCTAATACGTAAGACAAGACTAAATACTTCAAGTAGCCCTATCAGTAATCCCTCACAAGATCAATACCTCTACGCAGCTGTCAGCACAACCTAGAAACATTAAGCTTGTTGAACGCGAATCTTGGAGTAAGCGACGTATTGCGACTTTTAGCCAGTGTTTCCAGAGGTTCAAGCGACCACTTGGCGTATATAGACCTCCGAGGTGCATTCCGGGAATGGCAAGCACCCCATAGTAATTCGAGGCACGTGAAACAGCTCGATCAATCCTATACAACAGATTTATCATTTTATTCTTATGAATTTTTAGATATTTGCGTCTGCTTGGTCGATTCCGAGCGTTGACCATTTTGAGACTCGACTATCCAGCCCTATCGGATCAGACTCTGAATGCATTAGCGAACGCGGCGTCAAAGGCGCTGAAAACTCTGCACATATCGGTGAGAGATTCAGATTCGAGGCAACATACGATCGCAGACACTGCTTGGCACAATTTGGTCCTCGTTTGCCCGGAACTCACCGTCTCTTACACTATAGGTAAAATATAATACAGAGTGACGTAAAAGTAATTATTGATTTCCTGCCACCCACGTGTTTCGTTGTAAGAGGGTAAAATGTGGAGGATCTTTGAATTCTGTAACGGACGAAGAGGTTCTTTGTTCAACGAGAAACAATAAGAGATTTTTCAATGAGAAATTAGACACCCACTTTAACACGTTAAATGCCATGCTGAAATTACTGATAATTTCGATAGATAGCATTTTTATTTTTAAGAAGATTTATTTATTATTTTTGTTAATTGACCCTTCTATTAAGAAATCAAAAGCTTTGGAATATTATAGAAAATTTAAGAAAATATTATCTGAAATAAACAAGAATAAAAATAATTTGTTGACCCCTCTATTGACCCCGCAGGTAGCAGTCAACAAGTTAAAACTATCAATTAATTTATAGAAATTATTTTGTAGATCGATACTATGCATAGGTTTGATTCTATACACCATTTAGCTGGTTAAGTTTGATTTTCAGTTAACATCTCCCATTACGAAGATATGTGCTATCTGCTGTTGCCCAGTGTGCCATTGGCCAGCTTTCAAATGTTCAGCGGTCATGTGTGGGATCAGAGCAGATCTCGTAATTTCAGAAGCACTGTTGGACTGCTTATTACCCATTACACCAACACGCTAGGTATAATAAAATCTTGAAAATCATTCATCTTGGTAAACGTATCCTTCATTTCGCAACGCGTTAGCTGTCATAATAGAAATTACGGAATTTTGTGTTTCAGAGTTTCTACTTTAAACTCGCATGATTTTATCATTTCAACCGAATTATAGACATTAGGTTGTAATAATTAAAAGATTATTAATTGCTTTTTCGTTAACAATGGATAGTGTCGAAAAGGCTATTAATAGCCTATTAAAAATAGTCAATTTGAATCTGCCAATTTCAAGAAAATATATCAGAATATTTTGCACAGTCATTGATAAAAATTTTGGCGTACAATTACAGCGGAAGTGATGCTACAATTAAGAAACAATCGCGAGTTGCTGGATGATTTGTTGGTGTCTATGCTCGTACGTTGCAAACACCTAACGAGATTACAATACGACGGTATAATAAGAAGTCTCGACACTTTGCGTGACATCTGTCAGCTTCAAGCTGAAAGCAAGACACGTAAGTATTTAAACAGAGTCATTTTTTGTCATTAAAAGGGCTAAAAAATGAAAATCAATAACTAAAATATAATTTAACAGGTTTTCGTACGATTCACGTGAAGCCACGAAACGTAAACGCTCGGAATCGTGCGGTACTACAGGACATCAATTATCATTACGATCACAAGATGATGGAACAAGGAGTAGATTTTCGTATAGAAGATCCAGCCTCAGTTTTGGTCTTCTACTGAAATTGTCCTCTATTCTTCAGGCTGTTCAGCTGTACCTTCCCATTCGAGTCTCTCAATATAATCAAAAAGAAAAAAAAAAATAATGTCTGTTTTATATTTTACCACGATCGACTTTTTGTAAACCGCTTTTAATTGTATAAGTTTATTTTTGTAACTCGATGAATTTGTTTGTATACACTTTACACTGAGATAAAATAAAATTTCTAAAGTGAATTGATTTGGTTCTTTTTTTGTAATTATATAAGGCATAAGGTTTTGTAAAATTAATTTTTTTAAATCATTACCCATTCATTCATTATTGGGACAATATATTTTCTCAATGTGTATAGTACCGAACATGGTCGGGTTGCCGCGTTCCGGGGTTTCAGATACTCCCCGGAGGCTGTTCCCCCACCCCGGACCTCCGACCTTCCTCGCGGACGGTCCCGAGGGAAATGATGACGCAGCGCAGTAGGCCCCGTATATATAGACCTGTGGCTCCCCACCACTTGCCGTTCACCAATCACAAGAAGTCTCAAACGCTGATTGGTTGAGTATAATAAATTTATAATATAATGAAATCATTCTTTTATTTAGTATAAAATCGTTGACAATCGAATAATCGAAGACTGTTTCTTTAATAATAAATACAAAATCGTAAGAAAGACTGGCAGTAAGAATTTCTAAAAATATCTAAAAACGATTCAAAAGTGATTTCTCGCGACATTGTGTTTGATAGAACACAGTAAAGATTGTTTTCGTTGATTTCTTGAAGACATAAATCTTCCAACATCTTTTCCTCGAGAATATTGTAAACAGTATATAAAAAGTATAAAAAAATGTGTATAAATAGGTAGAAATGTGATGTTAAATTTATCACGTTACATCATGAAAGCTTTTTAACGAAACTTTTGATTAATCGACCGTAAGTCAATGCGTTTACGCATCATTCGATGTTTCATTTTTTAATATTAAATACACCGGAGATCCTTTGTAAGAATCCAATTGAAATTATTGACCCACGATCGATTAAACGACAATATTCTAAAATCACACTAAATTCTGCATTCTACTATTCAGGAACGGATCAAGGTTTTTGAGGCCCGGAGCTATCAAACGTTCGAGGGCTTGGTTTAAAAATTCAAATTTATTTTAAATTAAATTAAATAGCATTTAATCGTAAAAAATTTGCTTTCAATATTTTCTGACATAATAAATGGAAAGCTTAGAAGGGGGCGCCCCTTAGACCACCCCTTGATCCGGCGCTGCTACGTTTATAAAATAGCACAGGGACACTTTTATACCTGTAATTAAATTTAGAATGTACCTTAATACTATTGTCAAGGACGGCTTTAAGATCGCAGAAGTTGCAAAAGTTACCTCTGCACGCTTAAAATAAAATCATTAAAGAAAAATTAAAACAATTTGTTTAAAAAAAGAAATGGTATTTTTGGAAAGATCAATACCATTTTCAATGTCTTTCATCTTATTGTTAGTTTCAATATTTCAATGAAGAAAATATTGAGAAATTATATTTAATATGACACGAAGTTCTTTTAATAGAACTTGCGATAAAAGTTGCCTTCATTAAACGCGATCGATCCTGACGCTTTAGCGCTTAATCCATCTCAGGTGGATAGCGATTATATCTCTAAGGGTTGCTCCAATTTCACGAGGGTTTTTTGTAAAAGTACCTCAAAGGTCGTAATTTACGAGGGTATTTCAATATCAAACTTTCAGGTTTTTATGCTTTTCGAACAAAAATAAAAATAAATAAATTCTATGCCACAAGATAATTCTGTGCTAAAAAATTAGAAATCCCATTGTATTAATTTGTAATTATTATAATTAATATTAAAAATATTTTAAGATTCCTATAACGATTAAGCAGGCTAAAATTAACCCTAGCTAATTACACTGCTGCATTTAAAAAATGAGAACGAGAGTTAATTATTTATTATTTGAATTTTTAAATGGTCAAAGAGAATCAGAAATATATCCTCCATTTGGAACCTAAATTAAAATTTTACTATCCCACAAGTGGGATTCATTTAGTACGAAATTTGTATTAAAAATGTGATTTGTTATTACAAAACAAAAATCAAATCCCATTCTAAAATAGCTCACCTTAAAAATATTCACATTTTCAAAAATCACATCAGCGGCAGGATTTCATATGAGTATTCAGAACTGTCCTAGTCACAAAGCCTTTGCTACACTGTGTGCAAACATACGGTCGTTCACCTGTGTGATAACGTTTGTGGACCACCAACGTGGACCTCTGTGTGAATGCTTTACCACACTGATCACACGAATACTTTCTCTCCCCTGTGTGTGTCACATTGTGAGTCCTTAATAACGTTTCACAGGCGAAGCACTTTCCACACACTTCACAAGTATATGGTTTTTCACCTGTGTGCGAACGATTGTGAATCTCCAATCCCTTGGCGGTTTTCAGTTCCTTGCCGCAAAGAGCGCATAAATACCGACGTCTTTCATAATTAGGAGTATCACCGTGTGCTTTCACCTTGTGCTGTTTTAATACTGATTTATATTTGTAAACCTTCCCACAAACGTCGCATTTGTGCTCGGACCCCTGCTGATCCCCATCTTCCAGCTTCTCTTGTATGGATACCGTGGGGTCGTAATGGTACAGGCGATTGTGTTCCTTCAAACTGCATCGATATTATGATGTCATAAAAATTTGGATTAAGATAATTTATAAGAGGATCTGCTGAATTTTGTGAAGCGAGTAAAAAGTTATGGTGCATATTAGCAGGGGCAGATTAAGATTTCTGGGGACGGGACTACCAAATCTTCGAGGACCCCCTCGGTTGATAAACCTATACTGAACTTTACATTCAATGCAAATATAAACAATTAATTGTAACTTTATCTTAAAAATTTTAGGCTTGAATTTTTCTCTTATTGAAAAAAAAATAAGAATTATTAATTTTTATAAATTAATATTCTGAAAGCTGTGCACTCTTGCTAATAAAAAGTATTTAATAAATCAATGTAATAATACCTGTACACGTCATCAAAGGTGCTACCGCAAGCGTTGCACTGTTGAAACTGCATAAAATTGTGCATCGTTGTATGCGTCACCAAAGAATCCTTATCAGTAAAATTCTCACTGCAAATCTCGCAGGTGAATTTAACCTCGCTATGGTGTCGCTTCGTATGTCTCTCCACATCGATGGTATTCACCCCCATGAAACTGCATTGCGTACAGGGTATTGTTTTTGGTGTGTGGGATTTTTTCACATGAGCGTTTAGCATGAATTGCTGAGGATATGTCTTGTCACAGGTGACACATTTAAAGGGTCTATGGATACCGTGAACGATCCTCAAGTGGGCCACTAATCTCGTCACAAAGTGGAATTTTTCTTGGCAAAGATCACAGATCTTCTCGTTTCCCTCAAATCTGAAAATTTAATTTTAAAAATCACGTTAATTCAAAATGATAATATTTATTTTATACTTTTGAAATACTGGAGAAATTTCAATTTAAATTTGGAAATGAAAGACTGGGAAATATCGAGATCTTTGTATTTATTAAAAATAAAATGGAATATTGACTAAACTAAAGTAGAAACTCACTTCTGCCCTGGATCTAGAAGAACGTCTTCGTTTTTAATTTGGAAATCTTCGCAGTCTGCAATCTCGTCTTGTTTGTTGGTCCAGTGGCTAGAATTAGGGAACCTTCATTGACAAAAATACATTTACACAAAGCATTTTGTGATTACTTTCACAATTTGTGTAAACGTTTATGTAGTCATTTTCATCCTAAACTTCAAATTGATGTACTTTAAGTAAGACCGGATTAAGGTTTCTGGGGCCCGGGGTTATCGGACCGTCAGGGGATAAATTTGGTGGATAAATTTGAATCAAAACTTTTTTACATAAATATAAATAATAGAAGGTTTAAAACGGGGTCCCCTGAATGTGGGGCTGGGGTCTGTTGCCCCCTCTTAGATCTCTCCTTAATCCGGCGCTGAGCCTAAGTGGTACTTTATGTCACTATTATGTTATCAAATCATTTTAGATAGTATTAAAAAATATCTTAAATAAATTTTCTTAAAAACAAAGCTAGCATCTTTTCTTATTTCAACCTACATATCTTTAACATAATATTACCCTTTTCCTAATTGTGTCACTACTTAAGGAATACGTTATGTACAATATCAAAAATGACATAACACACGCCTGAAAAATTTCAAACAGAATACATACTGATTTTATAAATTCAGATCATATGCAGCTTGCTATCTCTGTATCAATGTTCAAATATGTGTAACACCTAATAAAATACAAGGATCCATTTCAAGTCATCATTTATTACCACCCATCACAACATTCCTCGTAGTATCCTCATGCACTTTACGATGTTTCTTCAGAAAACTGCCGGAAACGAATCCCTTGCCACAATCAACGCATTGATACGGTCTCTCTCCCGAATGGTACCTAAGATGCAAGATCAAAGACGTCCGTTGTGTGAACCTCCTGCCGCACTGATTACACGCGTGAGGTTTTTCACCGGTGTGTACACGTCGGTGAATACCAAGATTCTCCTTACTAGAAAACGTTTTATCGCATAAATCACACTTGGCGACCTTTTCGTTGGTGTGCCCTCGTCTGTGGACCATTAACCTCCTCTTCGAAGACAAGACTGCCCCACATAGATCACACAAATGATTCTTTTTCTCTTGTAACCCGTGTCGCTGCTTCAGATGCTTCTTCAACGATAATTTTCTTGTAAAACTCTCTAGACAAATGTTGCATACATGTTTCAAGTTATCACTGAAAGATTGAACGGGTGTGATATAAGCGTGTTGGGTCCTGAGGTGGGTCATCAGGTTCCTTTTATAAGGATATGATTTACCGCAATGTTCGCAGTGATACAATTGTTTTCTGGTATGAACGTTCACGTGTTCCAAGTATTCTGTTCTTAAGAAAAATCCTTTGTTACATTGGTCGCATTTGAAAGCGTAATCCTTTGTGTGTCGACGTCGATGACTTTCCAAATTTGATTTCTGGTTTGATTTATAGTCACACAGGTCACAGGCGAATCTTTTTGAACCCATGTGTATTAACTTATGGCGGGCGATGTTCATGGGACTTCTGAAGGTTTTACCGCATTCGTCACAGCTGAACGCTCTGTCGATGCCATGGAGGTTCTTCAGATGTTCCACTAGCTTTCTCGTGTGACAAAAACAAGCTCCGCATTTGATGCATTCGTGAATCGCGCGTGATGCTACTCTTCGTGACCTGAAATAGAGATTCTGATGAAGTACTTTGGAATAACAGAGATTGATTATAGTTTTGGAAATGTATCTTTATGGTGGTATGTGATCTTATCACTCCAATGGAGATTCTGAATTTTATAGCGATTATACAACTGGCACAATTATACTACTCATACAACACTCGTAAATGTTTATTACTAATAAACAATTTTCATTTGGTCAGTTCATTAAGAAATGAAAAGAATAGAATTGTTTACAATTCTCAAAATTTGTAAGAAGTTGATTTGCAAGTATGTTATTAATATTCTTGAAGTGATAAGAATTGAGATATACCTACCCTCATCTCATGATGAGTTACTTTCAGGGATGAAAATGAAGCACACATTTAAAACCTAATTCTATGCACTCTTTTATATCTAAACATAATTTACTGATAAATTATATTTGGATAATTTCTCTGGTATCAGCTGTAAAATTACAATTTCCAAATTATAATTGTGTAATGAAAATATAGTACAGACCATCAAAATATCAAACAAGCGCGGTCAAACCGAACTCCTAGTACGCTCCATAGTAGTATCAATACGCGAGTCAAAACATTTCGAAATCTTAATATCTGAGACATAATTTTAAAGCTTTTGACTGAAGAGGGATTGTAATTGTATATCATTCTCCCCTTATATAGAAATAACAAGTTCAATTTTCGGCTATAAAGATTATTTTTGATGAAGAATCTGATAAGCGCATCGAGAATATGAGAAAATTGTGGACTGCGCATGCGTGAATTAATCTACTTTGAGTTGCGCATGCGTAGATTACATCTACATTGTGGATTGCGCATGCGTGGATTAAATCATTAATCACAAAGGACGTGACGTAGCACATTTGAAGCGTGCTAAAATTGAAAAAGAAAATAATATTTTGAATACCAATAAAATTGCACCAGTAGTTCCAAATAGGAGATTAAAAGATTTAATTAAAAAATAATGATTCTAATGACCATATTATCATTCAACTTATTAAAAGAAATTTTTCATTGCTATAAACTAAATTTAAATGTAAAAGAAATGTAGTAAGTAAATGTAAAATTTTTTAACATTGTGTTTTGTGTTTGAAAAATTGCTTACGTATTTCATGCTTGGCTGTGTAACGTTATATTCTTTTTTTGTAGGAACTTTTACAGGTATATAATTCAAGCCTATAATCAACGTATATGTATAATCTGTACAAAATTTGTTAATATAAATTACATTCTAGATTTTAACAATTTAATCGACCTTTTCTAAACTTCTATTTAAATTTCGATACAAATAGTCGATTTCGTAATATAAAAATTTAATATAATTTGATGAGATAAAAATATAATAAAATAACATTCTGTTAGATCACATCAATTTGAAGTTTGATGAAAATGACTAAGTACATAAAATGGCTGGTTATCACTTTCAATTTCTGAATTCTTCATTAATCAAAGATTTAAAATCATCGTCAATTTTATAATTTTCTTCTATAGTCAAAGATCTAACATCGTCAATTTTATATAAAAACAAGAGGTCTAAAATATAACATAAATTGGCAGCATACATATCAACTTCAAATTAGAAGGAGTCGCTAATAATCCAACTAAGTGGTGGATGCGATTTTAAATAATCAAACTAACAAACAAAAAATTCACAATTTACAACCAGCAATCTTCAATGATTCAAGCCCTAAGAAGATCAATAAAAATTGCACACCGCAGTCACTAATCATTCTTCTTCAAATTGGTATCAGTCAAACCTTGAATGAATTCAGAAACAATGTTCTTAACGGCCACAACAGGAATCGGTGGTAGAGGACCAGGATGTTTCTTCCTGTGTGCACGTAGCCCTGACTGCTGAGCAAACGTACTTCCACATATACCACAGGAATATACTTTCTTTCCAGTATGAATCAGTACATGCTGTTGCATAGACGCCTTTTTTGAGAAAGTTTTATTACAAAGTGGGCAAGAATAGGGCTTGATACCCTGATGAAGCCTCAGATGAGCAACCAAATTCCATTTATGTTTGAGTATCTTTCCACAAGTAGGACACGTTGCTTTTTCTCTCCTTTTATGCCACTGCAAATGCAGTGCCAGGTTCCTCTCGCTCGTCATGCAACGTTTACATATGTTGCACACGTAGGCAGTTTTATAATGTTTATGTTTCATATGTGCCTTTAGGGCAGGAAGACTTCTGGAAGTACGATTACATATGATGCATCTCAGTGGAGGAACACCGTTGTGCACCACAATTGTATGCCGATATAAATCAGCCATGAATTTGTACTGCTTCTCACAACTTGAACAGGAATACGGAAAATTACCGGTGTGTTTACGAATGAAATGGTCCTTCAGTCTCCATTTCCTATTGCTTTTATACCCACACACAGTGCATGGAAACGACTTGCAACCATGTATTTGGTTGCAATGCTGCTTCAATTGTTGAATAAATTTAAAGGTCGCAGTGCAGTAACTGCATTGGTGTTTGTGGTCTTTCATGTGGCTTTCTATTAAGCATTTTCGGTCAAATTGTTGACTGCAATAATTGCATTCAAATCTTCGTCGAGGAATTTTATTCTTCTCTGGCTTTTCTATGTCGGTGATGACTTCTGAATAGTTTCTTTTATATTGAGTCTTTGTATTTTCCAGCTTGTTTGGTGATTCCTTTATTATTGATTGTAAGCTGTAGACCTGCACAATTTTTATGCTGGATGGTTCTTGTATGCTGTCCTCTTCAGCGGTAAAGGTGTCTTCTTCGTTAAAGTGGTCCCATTCAAAGAAACTAAAACAGATTGAACGAGACTTTGGTTAAATTTTGATAGATAAGTGTATTAAGGGATGCATGGGTAGATGAAGAGGGTACTTACTTGGAGGTTCATTAGTAGATGGACCATTCACAGTCATTTAAGAATGCTATGGTCTTAAATAAAGACAACAGTTTTTTAAATAGAGATAATTTTTTTAAATTATTGTAATTACAGGAGTTAAAGTTTTAATTTGATGGTACTAGGTTATTGAAAGTACAGTACAGTAATTTTTCAAAATCATAATTTTTCTCAATTGCTTGTAAAATTACTAAATGGTTAGTAATTTTGAAAATGGGGATTCATAGTTTTTCTATACTTACTTTTTTAATACCATTTTCCAAGCTGAATATAATTTTACAAATAAATCACGGTTATTATAAAAATGCTTTGCTTATTATTTCGCATTTTACAATGTTAAATTTAACTACATTTTTTTTTTATTAAAAAAAGCTGCAATACAATAAAATCTTACAAAAATTCATGCATTCGTGATTGATGATGAGTTGAGAGAGATCATAAAGAATTTTATACAAAATTGGAAGACTGCAAAACTAAATACTCTAAAATACAATTATTCAATACACTTAACTCCTTCCTACCAACTTCACTACAAAATACACTTATAAAAAAGCTGAACCAATACTCAAATTATTACTCATTCAGATTTAAAAAGATCCATTTTATGTACCTTTACACTCACAGCCCTTCCTTTATCTCGAAGCAGCACCAAAGGGTCATCCAATAATTTTCTATTAATTTTAATTTTAAAATGAATTCGAAAATTTCGTTCATGGATACAGAAGTAAGACAAGAATAGAAGTTATAAAATTTCTTTTAACTCCAAATACTTCAAATTACCTTAAAAACTGAAAAATAATAAATAGGACATTTTAACTAATTATAAGATAGGTAGTACACCTATTTAATTAAATCCTTAATTCCATAAGGATTCATTAAAACTTCCTTAATTACCCTAATTACCGAATGACCCTTGTACCAAACCCAATCAACTCATTCAATCTTAATCATAGTATTCTTCATAGTATACTCCTTAGTGAACTCCGTAACAATATTCTTGATCGACACGACAGGAAGCGGAGGCAGAGGACCAGGATGTCTCTTCCTATGACAGATAAGCCCAGGTTTCTGCGCGAAAGCCTGTCCACATATGTCACAGACGTACGGTCTCTTCCCTGTATGAATAAGTACATGCTGCTCCTGAGCAGTCTGCCTCCTGAAAGACTTCCCGCAAACGGGACAAGGAAAAGGTTTAACCCCTGTGTGCACCCTCATATGAGAATCCAGATCTCTTCCACGAAACCTCTTCCCGCAAGTAGGGCAGAGGACCTTCTCCCTAGTCTCGTGCCACGTTAAATGTTGCTCGAGGTTCTCCTGAGTGGTCATACCTCTTCTACAAATCCTACAAATGAACTCTGGCTTATAGTGCCTGTATTTCATGTGCGCCTTCAACGCATGAAGGTTCTTGCTGAAGTGTCCACACACGTCGCAAACGATGGGAGGCGAGTCGCTATGGTTCTGCTTCACATGGTGGTTCAGAGCTTTCTTGATCTTGAACTGCTTACCACAAACGTCGCAGGAGAAGTTATAGCTACTCGTGTGCAATCTTATGTAGTGGTTCTTCAGGGTCCCTTTGTTGTTGCTTTTATACTCGCAGACACTGCAGTCGTACACTTGGCGTCGATGAATCTTCTCCACGTGGGAGGCTAGATACCGACGGAGTCTGAAGGTTCTTGGGCAATCGGGACACCTGTGTCTGTGCTTCTTCAGGTGCTCCGTTAAGTTGCTCTTCTTCAGGAACTTGCGACGACAGTGGTCGCATTCGAAATGAACTTTTTCTTTGATTTTTTGATTGGGGAAGGGGAGAGATATTTTGTAATCTGTTTCATGGATTCTCTTCGGATTAGTTTCTTCTTGGATCGAGGACACTTCGAAATTCTCTTTGTCGATCCAATTTGTGAAACTTTCGGAGAAATCTATCGTTGAGATTTGAGAATCGGACTTGAACTCTTCGCTCAGAGGATCCAGGATCCTAAAACAGAAAATTGATTGCATTACGTTATCGAAGGTTGTAAATTGATTCTGGAGAATCTTATTTAATTGGAATGGGTCGCTTTTGGACCTGCTGAAGACTTAAAAGTACGGTGTCACTTTAATCCTTGCGCGACCATTGCGGAGTCATTTTGACCCAGCTGCAGAAATAGAAGTTTATGCAAAAAGTAAAATATTTTCAATTTTCTGTATAATTACGTTTTGATTATGGGTCAAAATGACCCAACCTAGAAGATTAATTGAAAAGAAATGAAATTTGAAAAATTCTAATACCTGTGTGTTATCATACCTTCTCGTTTTTCGAAACAATCCATAACAGTCGTATCCTGGAAACGTATGAAATTGATCAATTATTATTGTCCCTATTGTTTATAATTTTTTATACAATTATACTTATCTTGCGTTAATTCTTCAGCGATTTCAACGAAATTTTTTTATTATTCTTATGAAACTTAAACAAACAATAATACAAAGAGTTTTCCTTTTTGCAAATTTTTATTTTTGGAGGATAGTTGAAACGATCAGGCTCAGTAAAAATATTTATTTCAAACTCAAAGCTATACACAGCGTGTACGTGCCTTTACGAAAGTATTAGACTAAGGTTTTGTCGATTTTAGAAAAATAGCGATCGTAGGCGCGCTTTTTCTTTTCTTCCTCCGCTCAAGGATTTAACAACTAGTCCCTTCGAAAATTACTAGCAACAAGGTAAGGAGATTATTTATCTGTTTGTTTTTTTATAGGGAATCGTCTTACGTTAATGTTATAGTCATTCTTAGGAGGACTAGCTCGCAAAGAGAATAAGTATCATCGAGATATATCACAATGTGTACGTATCAATGAACTCGTACTTAAATTATTTCATCGAACAATTTTATGATACAAGATGGTAACAATTGTTCTCCATGCTCGCTTTTTTTATCAAGATATTTACGAATTTTTTTTATACAATGTGGTTGAAATATTATTAACACTTTGATGGCTGAGGATTTTGTGAAATTGATAATTTTTGTAATTTTGGGTTCTTCCAATTATTTATAATATTTTACTTGTAGAGTTTAATATTAATTATTCGACTGAAAATGCTAAAATAATATATTGTAATCTATAAATTTTGTAATTTTACGTTCCTTTGATTGTTGATAAAATTAAATCCAAAAGCTTCATTTAATATGTATTTCAAAATTGTTAATTTATTTTTATAAAGTCATGGTAACTCCAATATTGAAGTAATCGTTATTGTTATTATATTTCGCGCCACGAAAATATTCAAATTTAAAATAGTAATTAAGAAAGTGTAAAACTAAAACTACGAAATTAACTTGTACACCTAATACAATTATTATCTGATATAATAAAAAAACCGTAGGGTAAAATGTTTAAAATAATAAAAACATGACAGCAGCCATTAAAGTGTTAATTCTCAAATGGCAGACTTTCCTAATCGAAAATATCATTTACAATTTCAAGTTTTTGTGAACTTAATTTTGAATCCACTGTCAAAATTTTATACCATTTCGTTAGATATGATTTTTCCAATATTTTTCGAGTGTCAAGTTTTAATCTATAATTGCATTTGGGTCATAAACGACCCGATTAACGCCATTTAAGGGTTAGAGATGGAAATGATCGTTCATTCGGAATGGGTAACAACTTTATACCGAAATAAATATAGTTAATTTAGCGTTACGACAAGTTTAATATAAGGGTGAGCAATTGTTCATTTCTGGAGCAATTAATTTTATACGAGCTCGTTATTATCAAAATACTGTTGAGAAACTAAAGTTTCCATATGATACACGATCGATTTATTAATTGTTAATTCAACATATTAAAGAATTTCATATTGTTTAACTGCGATCTTTACAGTATTCAACGGAGAACATTTTTATATACATAGTGTAATATCAATTATAGTTTTCATCAACAATAATATTGTTACAAATTGAGTTCTAATATTATTTTTTCTTTTTTATCTCAAATCAAAAGGGAAATTCAAACATTCAATCCTATGCTCTCTTTGTTCTTTCGTAAATTATCAATTTACAAATTCTTTCTTACCATATTATACATCTTACAACTGTATACTTACAATAATACGCGAGACGTCTAAAAATAAGTATCGTTCGCGATTACGCCTTCGATCTTTCAATTACAAATTATTTCTCATCATTCTATTTGTCTTATATTTTTATTTATTGTTGCTCATTCATTTCAAGCTGATTTTAGATAAACAATACGGGTGGGTAAATGTTGTTCTGACTCGTTGTTGAAGAATACCTTTTCTGTCAAATAAACAATATTAATATTAATCTGTACTCTCGCAATCGAATCAGCTTCCTTTCCCAGGGAAAATGGCGATATCAGAGAATCAGGAATTCTCAACAATCCTAATTTTGACTATATTAATATTAAAAGTGATTTAGAAAAAAAAAAAAACATGATTTCTAATTATTAAATATCATAAAATTTATTATATATAATTGAAGAGTTCGAATAATAAAGTAAACATTGATTTAAATTTTCCTGGGGCTTCTCCTGTGGGGAGAGGTGGGAGTCCGGGAAAGAGGAAGGCCCGCAATGTGGGCCAGAAATTTCGGTGCATGGGGAAACCTATGGAGGGAGTCAGGGAGCCTACGAGTGAGGAGAAAGGGCAAGGGGCATTGCCATTTTCTCCACGGAAGCCTTATTTGATCGCGAGTGTACATCACTTTTTATTATTTATATAATCATACAAATGTCCATAAATTAACTGAAATATTTTCTTAATTAATTTAAAAGTATCATTTAAAAATCAAAATAAATGTTAAACGTGCATATTTCTAAACAACCCTATTTGATTTTAATTCAAATTACACTAAATCCCAAAACTATTTTCTCAATTTCCAATAAATTCTTCAACGAACCAGCTCGTCTCAGGAAGCACAAATCTCCGCGATCAAACTTAACACCCCGCCACTCTCATGGAAATTTTCCCACCGTCATTCCGAACGATATGCAAATGGAAACCCGTTAGTCCCAAGTTTCACAAATTAAGTAATCATGTTTCAGTTTCGAAATACCGACACTGTCAAACGATTCTACGCCTCCTCTTCGATCCTCTCCTCGTTCTCCCGTGCGTTTATCTCTTGAACGTATCCCTCGGTGAACTCCTTGACGATGTCCGCGATCGGCATGACGGGTAACGGAGGATGGGGACCGGGATGAGTCTTCCTGTGACATATCAATCCAGGTTTCTGCGTGAACGCTTTCCCGCAAATGTCGCAAACGAAAGGTCTCTTGCCCGTGTGGATGAGCAGATGCTGGCGCAGCTGGGACCTTCTGGCGAACGGTTTGTTGCAGATGAGACAGGAATGTGGCTTGCACCCTGTGTGAACCGCCATGTGCCTCTTAAACGAATCCTTCTTGGTGAACGTCTTGCCACATTCAGCGCACACGATCTTCTCCCTTTTTTCGTGCTGCGTTAACAGATGCTGATCAAGATTCTCTTGGGTCACCATGCGTCGTTTGCATATGTGACACTCGTACTTCGGTTTGTAGTGCGCCCATTTCTGGTGGACGTAGAGGGAGCCACTGTTCTGGCAAAGTTTACCGCAGACGTCGCAGTTGATCGGCTTTTCTTTATGATGGAATCGCACGTGGTTCGTCAGGTCGCCCTTCACCTTGAACTTCTTAGGACAGAACTTACACTGATGCTCGTATCTGTCTGTGTGCTTCCTGATGAAGTGCGACTGCAACGAGTGCTTGGACCGACAGACGAATCCGCAGGCGGCGCAAGGGAAGAGCATGTTGTTGGGTCGCTTCCTAGACCAGGTCTCGTGTTTCCTTTCCAAATGTGCGGCGAAGAGGCTCTTCTTCAGGGTCCTGTAGTCGCAGACGGCGCAGATGTATGCACCGTCCTCCTGTATGCATACTTTCTTCTTGTGAGTCCAGGCCACGTGTTTCCTGAATGATATGGCGGAACTGAACATCTCCGAACAGACCTTGCATTTCAAAGCACCACCCGAGGTCTTGGATGACTTTCTGCGAGTTTTCATGGGAGACGTATGGTTGTTCACTGATTCGAGGATCTCCTCTTCTAGATATTCTACTTGATCTTCTGCATCCTGGTCCACCTGATCAATCTGTTCTAACTGTTCCTGATCGTTGTATATTTCTTGCTCATCCTGTTCTTCTTGCTCTTGCTCTGGTTCTTCCTGTTGGTATTCAATGGACTTTGCGTCTACCTCGTTGGACATCAGTTTCTCTATGGTCACCATGCTTCCATGGACCTTCACTTGGTACAAATCTCCGATTTCCTTATCATTCTCGGCATCGATGGTCCCGTTGAGGATGATGGGTTTGACGTCATCCTCTTCGTCGTCCCTTTGCTCGGTACTACAGTTCAACAATTGCTTCTCTTCGTAGAGTTTCTCATCCAAGGAATCGTACTGCAAGTCCTCGTCGTAGAGGCATTCGACCTTGACGATGCTCTTATCCTCGTCCGCGTTTCCTGTCTCGTCTATCTGTTCAGGTATATCATCCTCGGACAACGGTGTATCACCTTCAGGTACAAAAGCGTAGTACGGTTTCCCGTCGAACTCCAGGATCTGCCACTTCTTCATCACGACCGACTCCTTGTCGTAAATGAAGATACCACGGGAGTTGAAGCTATCGAGCTCGTACCTGAAACATCATCGATCAACAGCGTTATTAACGAGCACTTCACGGAGGTGTCGACAAGCTTTCAAGCGGTTTTTCGTTTCTTATCTTACGATGTCATGTCAATCGAAGCATCTCTCGGGAAACGATGTTACGCGGCTGTTAGAGAGACACGTGACAGAGATTAGTTAAGAGTAGAGGTTTTGATCGCGAACGAGGTGTACACTCGGGTGCAATGTAGGCTTTTCTTAGGTAAGGTAGAGGGAGGAGCCAAGTGTACACATTCGTGCAATGTAGACTTTTCTTAATCAAGATGAAGCTTTTTGCCATTATTTTTTATTTTGGGAGGGCTCTGCTTACTCTTAACTAAGAGAAGCCTAAGTTGCACCCAAGTGTACAGTTGGGTGCAATGAGGCTTTCTCTGATTAAAAGTAAGAAGAGCCCTTCACCATTCGCCTCGGATTTTAAAGAGATCTCAACTTAGAAAATAATTCCACTTAACTAAAGGAAGCCTAAGTTGCACCCAAGTGTACAGATGGGTGCAATGAGGCTTCCTCTGACTAACAGTAAGAAGAGCCTTTCACCACTTGCCTTGGATTTTAGGGAGATTTTAGGGAAATAATTCCTTTTAATTAAAAAAAGCCTGAATTGCACGCGACCACATACGATTAAAGGGTTGCTGCAATTTGACTCGGAGACTACAATAGCGTATTAGTGGTAAAGAATGCTTGAGAAGTGAAAGCAGAGAAAAAGTGTCTATCAGGGATCGACGTGTGTTGCTGATAGGGAAAATACTTTATTTCCAGCATACAAAGAGTTACAAATAGTTCGAGTATATTCAACTCTCCTTATTAATATACAAAGTCTATAAAATGTAAACGCAATACAATTCTTCTTTTTTCAATAAACATCTTAACAATCGTTCGCTATAAATTTCTCTTATAATATACAAAATAAAAAAGACAGTCTTGCTTGAGAATTCAAAATAAAAAAACAGTATCTCCTTTGATAAAATCCTATAAATAAAAGAAACAACAGCTTTTAACATTTCCTTCACTCCTTAGTGAATTCCTTCAATAGATGATCAATGTGCATGACTGGAAGAGGAGGTAAGCTTCCAGAGTGTATCTTCCTGTGGCATATCAGTCCAGCCTTCTGAGCAAATGATTTACTACAAACGTCACATTCGTAGATTCTCTCACCAGTGTGCAACAGCAGATGTTGACTCAAACTGCTGTGAGTGCTAAAAGCTTTACCGCACACTGTACACCTGTAGGGTTTATCGCCAGTGTGTATTCTCAAGTGTTTCTTAAAACCATGATTATCAAAGAAAGTCTTGCCACATTCTTCGCAAATAAATTTCTCTTTCTTCTCGTGTTGCAGTAATATATGCTGGTCCAGGTTCTCCTTGGTCACCAATCTGGCACGACAAACTGGACACTCAAACTTCGCCTTGTAATGGGCATACTTCTGATGGGTGTACAAACTATGACGATTCCTACACGTTTTTCCACACACGTCGCACACTACAGGTGGTTCCAAATGGTTCAGTCTGGTGTGTGTCGTTAAGTCACCTTTGATCTTGAATTCCTTGCCACAGTGTTCGCAGGAGAACTGGTAACGCTGAGTATGTTTGCGCACAAAATGAGATTTCAAGGTTTCTTTTCTAGAACACAGCAGCCCACAAATGGTACAGGCGAATTTTTCCCTACAGGTGAATCTGCTTTTGCTGGAATCCTTGTGACTTTCATTCATGTGTGCGATCATCGTTGATCTTTTATTGCACTTGAAATCACAGGTCAGACAAGAGAGTGCTTCTTGTTTCTCAGAGGCTAATTCTATGAAGGAGGACCCCTTAAGGGTCGTATCTCTCTTCGCTTGATTCTCGTGCCTCTGTTTGTGTCGTTTTAAGAGATACGTTCTTTTGAACTGTTTCTGACAGATATCACAGGTGATTAAAGTTTTGACGGTTCTTCGAGATGGTTTTGTTTTTTCTTTAGAGTTTTTCGTGGTTTTGAGTCGATCGGTAGATCCTTGCCGCCTGAAACAGAAATATTAGTCAGGTTTATTACAGTTCTAACAGGATAGTGTTTAATTAGCAGAATTACTTACAATCAAAGTTAAAGATCACGTTGAGAAGAGTAGAAATTATTGCGATCAGGTAAAAAATTGATAATTGTATTTTTGGGGAATAATAATAGAGACTATGTTTTTATTCTGTGTAATAATTAAAATAGTACATCAAATAATTGTCGATGATGTAGTATTTTACAACTTCTGTTGAAAAATATAAAAAATAATTTGATATTAATACTGAATTTTACTTGTTATTAATTGGAGAAAAAAAAACAAGATCATGTATTGTATTTTTAACTGCATCATCGATGGTGCAATCAAGTGGCAAAGACCCATTATAGAGACAACCATTTCTCTTTATGACACTCCAAGGATGCACAATTATTGATTAATTGTTAAAGATGACCCTGCTGCTATCACCTTCCCAAAATAGTCATACAGAATTTCCTGAAAAATAAAATCATGGTTAAATTTAAAATTATCTTATCAATCGTGACACGTCTTTAAAATTTATCAAATATCCAAAATATAATACGTACCTGCAAATAAAAATACTGCAACTCTTCTGGTATTTCTTCTATTCCATTTAAATCACTGTATTTCACTATGTAAAATAAAAATAAGTTTTGGTAAAATTAAAAATGGAGTAAGAAAAATGATTTAATCTACTTTTTAAAGAACAAATATAATAAAAATTTCTTTTTAATTGCTCATTATATTACACAAATCTGTTAAATGGTTTCACAATCTGTCTCGTTTTATTTTAAATAATTGTAAACAGTTACGAGCAAGCATTTTTCAATAGGATTCATGAAAAATATGCACAGGATGAAATTTTCTAGGCACCCTGTATATCTGTCGCAAGATTGTGCACAAAATAAACTCCCATAATCTCTCTCGGTGTACATATTTTTTTTCATCATAAATCTCTATATCCATCCCTTAAATTATTCATTTTTTTACAAAGATCATAGCGTATAAACATTTAAACCGAACATAGCACAATAATGACACGTATAAAACGCGTAGAAACTAGCAACAAATACTTAAAAGTTAAGTAATTACAAATTACACGATGTTAGACGAATAAAGTTACAAACTTCAATGCCTCTTTCCCTTACATTAATCAACATTATAAGAAAAACAATAATCTTTCAATTGATGGAAACAAATGTAACTTTAAGAATGATTTTTTTTTAAGTATAAAAAATACCAAATGTATGTTTATGTGTATTTATTAAGCGAACTTTTGTCTAGAATTAAAAATTTAAAAACATAAAATAGGAAACAAAATGGTGGTGTGCGAGCTAAAATGGTGGCTTCTGCCCCACAAGTCATCAAAACTGCAATTTTGATTTAAAATAAAGAAGACTTTAGCTAAAAAGCTAAAGAAAAAACAAAGTTTTAAATACCTACATTAAATTTGCTAAAGAAAGACATATGGATTTAGGAAAAATATTAATAAATGAGAAGGAAGAAATAATTCTAGGAACTCTGGGAAGGGATACACTATTTCAGCTCTAATGTCACCATTTTGTTTCTTTCTCTACATTTTTAAATTTCAGATTCTAGAGAAAAGCTCGTTTTATAAATACATATAAGAATTATTTCCATATCTTTTATACTTTTAGAGAAAACCATTCTTAAATCCTTCAGGATGACATAACCTTTTCAATTACCCTCAACATAATCCATCAAGCTATAAAACACAATAGTTCACGATCAATCCTTCTTCATGAAATCGCTGAGAATGTGATCGATGTGCACCACAGGTAACGGTGGGTGCACACCAGGGTGCGACTTTCTGTGGCAGATGAGGCCAGGTTTCTGAGTGAACGTTTTGCCACAGATATCACAGATATAAGGCCGTTTCCCAGTGTGGATCAGTAAATGTTGCCTGTAAGCCGTTCTCCGAGCAAAGGCTTTGCCACAAATATGGCAGTCGTATGGCCTGTCCCCAGTATGGGTCATCATGTGCTGCTTCAGACGATGATTCTCTGAGAAGGATTTACCACACTCCTCGCAAACGAAGCTTTCCCTTCGTTCGTGTTGCAATAGAATATGTTGGTCCAGGTTCTCCTGGGTCACCATTCGCCTCTTACAAATGGCGCACTCGTACTTGGGCTTGAAATGAGCCCACTTCTGGTGTACGTACAAAGAATTGCTATTCGAACAGGTCTTTCCGCAAACGTCGCAGACAATGGGTCCTTCTTTGTGCTTGAACCGCACGTGTAGCCTCATGTCGCCTTTGACCTTGAATTTCTTGCCACAATACTCGCAGTCGTATTTGTATTCAGAAGCGTGTTTGCGCTCAAGATGTTCCTTCAATTTGCGACGATTCTGGCACTTGAACTCGCACTCGTTACAGGAGTACTCTTTTGGCTCTGTACTTGACCCGTAGCTGCCTCTTCGTTTGTCTATAGCCTTGCCAGCGTGCTTTCTGCTTATGTGAGAGGTGAGGGTGGATTTGTTGGTGCTCTCGTACTCGCAGAAGTTGCATGTGTAGGTCAGACTGTCGTTGTCCTTCGGATTCTGTTCCTCTTCCTCCTTGTGCTCTAAGGCGACGTGCATCTTGAAGGCGACCAGACTGCGACACACCTTCAGGCAGACCTTGCACTTGTAACGCTGTGCCTGCTCGTGGACAGCGCTTTGGTGTCGCTTCAGCATCTGTATCACGGGGAAAGAAATGTTGCATTCTTTGCAGGCGTAAACCTCATCGGGTTTCTCGTCGATGTCTTCCTCGAAATCCTCCTCTTTCACCTTCACCGTACACCCCTCGTCCGCCTGCGATGTTTTCTCTTCGATGGGGATGATGAAATCTTTCTCGTCGTCGGTGTTGTTTCTGTTCTCTTCCGACAACTTTTCGGTCGATTTGGAGAATTCGGAGAGATTCTCCCCTTGATTCGCTGGGAGGAAGGCGTAGTAGAGACTACCCTCCACGTCGACAACCTGCCACGGTTGCATCGCTATCGATTCCTTGCCGTACAGGAAACGTCCGTTCCCGTTTAGGGCCCTGAAAAGCACAGAACAGTCAGTTAGGTATCGCACGCAACAGCGCCATTGTTATTTTATTTTCTGTGCCATCACTTTTTTTTTCTTATGTTTCTTAATATATGATCTGTGAATGAAACTGCGTTTTCGATAAGCAATGGTCGACGTATATATACGTCGTGTCGTACGGTTTGAAGTGTAGGAAGCAGAATCGTGTCGGAACTTACAATTGTAGATATATTGTCGCTGGGCAATTAAATATTGATAAATTATTCATCTTTCTCCTCTATATACACATTTCACTGTAATAAAATGTATCCTTCAACACCTTGCAATTTTTCAACTTAATATGAAATATATTACACGTAAGAAATGATTTTTCCATGTATGTTTTACAGAGTCTTACAAACAGAATAGATTAATAATGATTTCCAGTCAGTTCTCTGAGGTGAACATAGATAGTAGGGATAAGACACATTTTTTTGTAAGTTGAATTTACAAAGTAAAGTCTTAAATGATTATTTCAAGTATTCTACAGTGCTTACTGATAATTCCTCTTCATAGAAACATTCAATCTTCGTGGGTATTGTTACATGTTACAATGATACTATTTAGCTGGAAAAATAGTACAGCTGATAAACTATCGCTTATAAGTAATTTGATATTACACAATCCCTTAATACTAGAAATGGGTTCCTCGAAACATTGAAACCTTGAAACCCAAAAAAATTTCAAGTTTCAAGAATTCGAAAGCTTTTAATTTTTTCACGATTTGAAGTATAAAATAAATTAATAAAAAACAATTAAGATTTGTGCAAAAACGTTGTCTTTAATTTGTAAAACAAGACATACCTATATGTATACTTTCTATTAAAAACAACACTTCAAATTTCAAGAGTTTCGAGAATTTAAAAATTAGTTTCAAACCCATTCCTATTTAATACGTTCATTTCACAACAGATAATTAAATTATCAGAAAATTAGAGAAGGGTATTCTAAACTTAATAATATTTTTCTATTAATATAGAATTTGTTCTCGTTGCGACAGTCGATGCCTTAAAAATGAAAAAGAAATAGGATCTTTGAAAAGAATCAGAACGCGTTAACCCTTTCGCTTCCAAGAGTGTATATATACGCATTTGAAAAGTGAAAGTTTGTGCGTATATGTATAAATGCCCGCGGTTGATAGAGGTGAGGACGTATATATACGTCATCGAAAAGCGAGCATTCGCCTTGAAATAGTGGACGTCTGAGCATAAATATATATATACGCTCTATAAAAAAAAATGGACGCCTCGGCGTATATATACGTCTTTGATTACTGGGAATGGGAACGTATATGTACGTCCTCGAAAAGTAGACACACGAGAGTACAAATACGTCTTGAAATAGTGTACGTATATGGACGCTCCGACGTATATATACGTCCTTGAATAATAAAAGCTTAGGTACAAAAATCGTATATACATACTTTCAAATAGATTAAGTTCCATACATAAACCACATCTCTATAAAAAATACTATATTCCTAAGAACATACTAAAATAAATTACGCTGTTCTCAAAAAGTAATTCTAATTACTATAATAAACTTCATCACAAAGTTCATAAAGCAGAAAAAATGAACTCCATACATCAGTGTCGAGTGATCAGGATTGCATCAACAATGAGCAGATTTCGTCGCAACACCCCAAAGCGAAAGGGTTAATCACACATCATAGTTCACTGTACAATATCCCTTCCCAAATGTCAGGTATTTCATTTGTTCATAACATCGTGCAATATGTGATCAATAAAGATTCTTGGAAGCGGAGGATGTGATCCAGGATGGGACTTCCTGTGGCTGATCAATCCAGGCTTTTGTGTAAACGCCTTCCCACAAATGTCGCAAACGTAAGGCCTGACGCCAGTGTGTATCAGCAAATGCTGCTTCATAGCTGTTCTACGAGCGAATGATTTACTGCAAATGGTACAGGTATATGGTTTGTCTCCCGTGTGGACTCTCATGTGCACTTTCAATCTGCTGTTTCTGGTGAAGGTTTTCCCACACTCCTCACACATTACAGCTTTCCTATTCTCGTGTTGCTTGATCAAGTGCTCGTTCAAATTCTCCTGAGTAACCATCCTTCTTTTGCACAGGTGACATTCGTACTGTGCTTTATAGTGAGCGAATTTCTGATGAACATACAGAGAATTACTATTGGGACATGTTTTACCACAAACATCACACATGACAGGCTGTTCTTTATGACTGAAGCGTATATGATTAGTTAGATCACCTTTCACCTTAAATTTCTTCCCACAGATCTCGCAAGAGAACTTGAAGTCCTTCGTGTGCTTTCTGGCAAAGTGCACCTTCAGTTCATATTTATTTTTGTTCTTATATTCACACTGAGTACAATAGAACAGCTGTGGCTGACCATCAGCTGTGAGAGACTTTGCTGGTCTGTGCTTCCTTTTTATATGTGAATACAGAGATGATTTCTTGTTGGTCTTAAAGGAACACTCGTTGCAGAGATACACCTCAGCAATGTCCACCTTGTGGCGACGCTTGTGGGAGTATAAGGTGCTCTTTTTTGAACATGCGAAGTCGCACAAATCGCATTGCTGCCTTCCAGAATCTTTCTCAGGGCTCTTGTTAACTTCTGATAATGATTCATCCTTGCTGTCTGAATCTGAAGAGGACGAGACACTGGGAGCATCCTTGATTTCTTCTGTCAAGTATACTTCTTCTGATTCCTTCTTCTCTTTAGATTTGATATCGCTCTTCTTGTTCTTCTTCTGCAAAGTAACCTTGGTATCAGTCTTACGGTGAGTCTGGGCCAGATGAGAAACCAAACTACTGCTCATCTTACTAACAAAACTGCAGGCGTTGCACTTGAAGACCATCCACCTCCTGTTTCTGTGATTCTCCATGTGTTTGTCTAGAATGGAATAGTCGTTGCACTTAAGATCACAAATTATACAAGAAATTTCTTTGTGTTCCTTTTTTATGTGCACAGTTAAACTAGCTTTCCTGTTGCAATGGAAACCACAACACATGCAGATGTACTTCCGGTCTTCTGATAGTTTCTGTGATTTCACTTGTCTATTTTGTTTATTTGAAATTTTAAACCGATTTCTGTTACTCATACGCTCTTTGCGAAGCCAGGAGTGGAAATTGTGAAATATTTTATGTTTGTTCAGCATAGTCTCCACAGGAAATTTAATGCCACATTTATCACAGGTATAGGAATCGATGGTGACCTCGCAGAGATGCATCAAAGATCCCATATAATTTGTTTTTTGAACATTTTTATGTTGTTCTTCGTTCTCCTTCTTAGATGACACAGTTGAGAGTGTTTTAGAATTTTCTTCAGATTTTATGGTGTTGTCCATCGCTGATTTATCGTCGAGTTGACCGGAAGTACCGGTGGTCGTCATCATCTTGCAGCAAACGCGTTCCCTAAAACAAAATCAAAATAGCTCGATTAATTTTAATGAAATGTACATTACTTTCGGGTACATGAACGTTACTTACTGTAGATCTAAGATGTCTTTAACGGATGCTTATGCGATTTTTATTCGAATAGAAATAGCGGGTTTAAAATGAACTTTCGTGGTGTGCACTATTCGTGTGGTCTTTATTCTTATTTTCTTATGTAGGATTTAGGAAGTTTATTAAATATACATTAACATCGAATGGAATTCTTAACTACAGCTAAAAATTTATAAACTGGGATGGATATAAGCTCGTAAAAGCCTAAATATAAAAATGTACGAATATTTTCCTACTTGAAGGCTTCAATGTTACATTTTTAACATTTTTTATCGTTATTGTATCTTCTTGAAGCTTTCATGTAAGAAAAAGGTACATTTTCTTTTTAAAAAATATTTCCTTGTATAAAATGGTAAAAGATTTCGTAAGGAGTTTACACTTTTCACAGAGTAGATCTTATTTAAGATACCTTGTATGTACAACTTATTCCAGTCTTCTCAAAGTTCTTAATGCTAACCGTTTCAATAACATCGTAAAATACTATTGCCATATCACATCATATAGATTAAATTTTTTCAAATCACTGTTTACTTTCATTATCTCTTTGAAATCAACAGTTTCTTTTCGACTTCAGATCTAAATTCACAGCTGGTACGTTAATTTAATCCAATGGCACAAAGTTGTGAGAACAAAAACTGGAGTACGTGAAAGTAAGTACAAATATCTAAGTATTAAATTGGCAATTAAATTATTTTTTCAATGTATGGAAACCTTTCCTTTGGTAATTTGAGTATTTAATTTTGTAAGTCTAGCTTATAACAATAACACTATATCAATTTCTCTAAATATACAATTTTCAACCAAAGTAAGTCCACTTGAAACTTGCAATTTTTCAATAGGTTGCTAATTTAATTGCCAATTCCATAATTGACTATCAGATTCTGCTTATCTACTAATTGCTATATTACAAAGAAATCTCAGCTCGATATTTAGTCACAATTTGACCATCCAATTCACCAACATTTCTCTTCCTCCCAAGAGGCACCGGAGGCGACGACAGATGGGCGTCAGGGTGCTTCCTCCGATGCTCTATCATATAATACCTCCTCTTAAAAGACTGCCCACAGAGGTCACAGATATGTGGTCTCTCCGCAGAGTGCGTCAACAAATGTGTGTTCCTCATATGTGACGTTCGAAAGTTCTTCTTACAAATGTGACACGTGTACGGTTTCACACCTGTGTGGGTGGTCGTGTGGGTGGCCAGGTACCTCTTCGAGGCGAACACTTTTCCGCACTCTTTGCACTCGTATGTTCTATTGTGCTGTTGCATATGATTGTCTAAATTCTCTTGTGTAAGCAGCCTCTTATTACAAACGGTACATTGAAATTTGTATTCATTCAAATGTGCCACTTTTCTGTGCTTGTACAACGAATAATTACTTGTATAAAATTTCCCACAAACATCACACATGTGCTGCGAATTACTGTGAGTTCCTACATGAAATTTCAAGTCCCATTCCATCTTGAAACGCTTTCCACAGTGTTCGCAGGCGAATTTGTAATCGTCAGTGTGCCTTCTGATGTAGTGAGACTTCAGGTTGTTCTTCGTCTTCGTCCTATAATCGCACTTATCACAGAAGTGTAGCAAACTCGAATCAATTTCTTGGTGAACCAGTTTGTGTGCTTTCAAGTCGCATTTGTACTTGAAGGTTTTGTCACAGGTCTGACACTTGAATGGACGGTGGAAACTGTGCTTGCTGGTGATGTGTCGCAGGATCTTGCTCTTCTGCTCAAATGTTGTTTGGCAAATATCACAGGTGTACGTACCATCATGAAGCTTCTTGTATAGATCTTCTTGCGACGAATTCTTATTTTGAAATTTATCTGAATAATTATTAGAATCCATGGGTAATGTTTTATTAGTGGAGCGTTTTAGTGGAGGTTTCTCTTTGTTACTTGATTCTTCTTCTTGAAGATCGATATGATCTTCGTCTTTTGTTTTGTAAGTGGAGCTTTTATTACTTTTGTGTCTGCGTATTTTTGAAGATCGAAAGAGGAGTCTTCTTTGGAGAACAGTTGCCGGTTTACTTGATGTTTTTAATTCATCTTTTGGCTGAGCATCGACGCTGGATTTGTGCTTCTGATTTATTTGCTGCGTCGATTTCCTAAAACATGAACGAAACGAGTAAGTACAGAAGGTTTATTCATTGTTAGGTGAACAAATTTAGGGAGCGTTTATTTTCTCTTCCACTTAGAACTTCAACGAGCTTCTAATACTCTGTATCAAAAAGGAGTTAAGCAACTGAGTTGATATTTATTAACAAGAATTCGATCTTGATATTATTTTTAAAGTGTAGTTTACTGAAGAAATTTTAAAAAACTGACTAAGCTAAAAAATTCATTTATAATTGCTGAATTATGTAATTCTTTAAATAATACTGTGGATAATTAATCAGAAAATTGGTCGATGTCTGCTGTGATGAATTCTTCTTCCTTGTTGCTTAACAGTAGAAGAAAATATTTATTTTAAAAATGAGAAACCTAAAAATAAGAAAGATCTGTTAATTATATAAAAATATAATTTTGTAACAGCTTGATGAATTTCTGCAGCGAAATTCTAAGCAAATGATAATAAAGGTATTTTCTTTTATTGGAAGAAAATCGAAAAGAAAAATTTACCGTACAATTGTTATATCAATGAAACATTTTGAAATAAAATAATTGCATCCGTTTGCGTTTTATTTCGTATGTCGATTAACGAGCTTCATATAGTGTACAATCTTCTGTACATTCAGACATAATATAAAAAATGCTCAGCTATAAATATGAAAAAATCGTGGAGGTTTTTTTTTTATGTAAATCAAAAGCTGTAAATTCTACAGTTAATCGTTGAAAAATTATTCTCCTGTACAATATTGATACAGCTTTTAAGAATGATATATTTTACATGATGTTACACACACACGTGCACATATATTTCTTTTTTCTTCTTTTTTCCTTCAAATTTACAAACAATATAAATTTCTTTCATAAGAATACCATTATTTATATTACAGTTCTCTTGTTACGCTTATATTCACATGCATAAAAAAACTATCGTTTGCGAAGTAATTCTTGTTTATTTGCGACATTTTTTAAAATCATACTTCAACCCATTATATCGGAAAAAAAATTTTAATAATCAAAACAGATTTTCAGTCTGTACATTACACTAATGCTATATTGTACAGTACAATAGTTAACTAAAAATCAGAGGTAAAAAATACGAAAACTTACTGTTATTATTTCTATCCTTTATGCCTTGAAATGAACACCCCTAAAGTGCATCGGAACAAATGTATATTTCTACTTTTACAAATGATGCGAAATAATTTTGTAATCTACAGAAAGGGTAATTATCTGTTTAAGCAGTTCATGAAAATTTGTAAGAATTTTACAAAATTTCGCACGCAATCTCATTCGAAAATAAAAAGATAATAAAAGGGTAAAGAAAAACTTACAACACAATGTACCAAACGTTACTAAAGTCAAAGAAAACCAAAATCTATATTTATTTAAAAAAGAAAAGAAAAGAAAAGAAAAAGAGGTTTAATTAATGTAATTCACAAGTCATTAAAATGCAATCAATGACGATATAAAAAAAAAATCACAAAGGTACTCCAAATTAACTTATCCGATTCCTTGAAATCGTTACATTCAAATAAATCCATCTATCAGATGCAAAAACTTACGTATTCCACGACCGACGATCGTACAGTCCCACAACGATTCCTCGTGCACAACGGCGTAACAAAAAAACGTAGTCTTTCATCCGAGAATTCGTTTGAAATACAATTCATCGTACCACTCGATTCACACCATCTTCAATGTACAAAAACCTCCCTCAAAGTAGTCCCAATCCTCCGGACAAAAATTCCTCTTCTAACGTTATATAAAAAAGTATACAAAATCTGATTAAAATTTATCATCCCGTCTACTTGCTGCTCTTGTTCACGATGATCTTGTCCTGAACACCGTGGAGAAGATTGGTGATCTTGATAGGGGGAGGCGGAGGATGGATACCAGGATGTTTCCTACGGTGTAGCATCATGGGCGATCTTTGCGTGAAACTCTGTCCACAAATATCGCATACGTACGGCCTTTCGCCAACGTGGGTCAACAGATGAATCTTCTGGGAGCTGAGGCAGCCGAAAGTCTTTCCGCAAATCGCGCACAAATAAGATTTCTCCCCGGAATGAGTTCTCAGATGTTTCGTCAGACCGTACTTGCTCTTGAACTCCATGCCGCATTGCTCGCAGACGTATTTAATTTTATGCAGCTCCATGTGATTGTCCAAGTTCTTCTGCGACTTGAACTTCTTCTTGCAAGTCTCGCACTGGAACAATTTCACCTTCGTCTTGTGTTTGTAGTGTTTGTGAAAATAGAGGGAGGATTTGCTCGGGTAAGATGAGCCGCATATGTCGCAGACGCAGGATTCCGCGTCGTGGTCCTTAACGTGGGTGGTGTAGTCGGACTGCACCTTGAACATCTTGCCGCACTGTTCACACTTGTAATTGTAGTCCTGAGTGTGTTTCCTGATGTAGTGGATCTTCAGGTAAGGTTTGGTGCGTGCCTTGAAGTCGCACATGCTGCACGCGTGCAGGGTCAACGGTTCGTCGTGCACCTCCATGTGCCGGCTGAGATGGGCTGTGGTCTTGAACGCTTTCGTGCAAATGGCGCACTTGTGGGGCCTCGAGTTGCTGTGCTTCAGCATGTGCCTGGTGTGCTTGCTCTTGCGATCGAACGTCGCGTAACAGATCTCGCAGGTGTGTAGTCTCTTCAGGGACATGTGCTTACCCGGGTACATGTTCTTCTCCTGTTGCAGCTTCTTCCGGAAGTCCAACGGCACGTCGTCTAGGTCCTCGATCGACTGATCGGTGTTGGAGGAGTTGCTCTTAGTCTTCTCTACCGATTCGTTGCTCTTCGCGACCGCTTTCGAAGGCTGGCCGTTCGCATCTCCGCCCGGTGCTGGCTCCTTCATCATGAAGACGCTCAGCGACGTCGGTATCCGAAAGTAATTTTCCTCTAATTTTACTATCAGAAAAGTTGGAGCGAGGGGGTCTAGCGCATTGTACCTAAAAAACCATAAAGCTAGTTAGTCGATATCGAAAAGGGACAGGATGATTTTTTATTTTATTTTTCATCGCTAACCACGCACGAGCATGCACCGGCGTGTTCGCTTTTTTTTCGTTTTTTTTGGAGAACTTGCCGCTTGGCAAGTTCCAGAATAAATGGTTCTTCCTCTAGATCCAGTGGAAGGTAAAGCTTTCTTTTATTCAGTGTTTTGGTTGTAATCACTTTATTAGAAGACTTACGTACAGGTTCTAAATTGTTTTTTTTTTTCTTATGAAATATATGTCCTCGTTCATTGGTGATACCTTGACGAATGATCTTTTTCGTTAGTCATTTTTTAAGAAAATATTAGGTCACAATGTTTAACGGCAAATAGAAATAATATTAATATTTTGAATATTTCATACAATTAAAATGATCAAATTTTATTTTCCTTCATTGTCATACATTTGATATATTAAATTATATTTATTAAGTATTCTTAAGAGGATTAAACAACGCATACGTTTAATTAATTGTATGAACTTTAGAATTAAAATGTGATGATTAATTTATTATACTTCAACTGCTGTGACTGTATCCTGAGAAGTGATTTATGTATGTACAAATATACATAAACGAAATTGTCTTTTAAATTCTAATCATTCTAAGAAATAGAAATCATTAGTCAACTTACTGACGTTTATTTATTGCGTGGAAATTTTATTAATCAATAATAACACACACTATTTCGAAATTATTCCAATTAATCATAGAAACACAAAATGTATTCAGAATACTTGAAATAAAAATTCTTTGCAAATAAAGAGATACTTAAAATTAACTCCATTTTCCCATTCAAAGAAAAGTACTAGTTAATGTATCACATCACCAGTCATCAACTTAATGAACAATACAATTATATCTACCTTCCAGAAAAAAAAAAAATCAGAATCGTCGATTTTTCACCGATAATCGATTGCAAAGTACTTTTAACTTTCTTCCAACTCAAACGTCTATATCAATAATCTTGATGTCCAACAGAAAACTACTTTAAACCATCCCGTAAAGGTAGCTCGCTGAAAATTCCAGATCAATCATAAGTTCCCATCCTCGTCGTTGTTCTTATCTACTTGATCACCTTGCATGTTCTGCAAGTAACTCTTGGCCACTTCGGCAACGTGCGGAGGTGTCCACTCCATGGGTGGCAGGGGTCCAGGGTGCTGCCTCCTGTGCCTGAGCATGCTGGATCGCTGAGTGAAATCCTCGTCACAGATATCACACTTGTAGGGTCTTACACCAGCATGAGTTAAAACGTGCTGATAGAAATTACTGGTGCAAGCAAAAGTTTTCTGACATATGGTACAAAGATAACTCTTGGGTTCACGATGCTTCAATTTCCTGTGATTTATTAACTCTTGACTGCTACGGTGCTTCTGTCCACATTCCTCACACTTGAAACCTTCTTCGTGGAGTCTAAGATGATTATCCAATATGATCCTCTGACGGAATTTCTTGTTACAAAGATGGCAATGGTGCTCGTATTTTAACTCTTTGTTTCGCTTACGATGCTTCCATTCGTGACCACTGATGTCGATTACAGTTTTACCACAGAACCGACAAACCTGAGGTTCCGAGTTGTGAGCCTTCTTCACATGAAGAGTCAAATCCGTCTTCACTTTATATCTACGTCCACAGTGTTCACATACGAACTTGGACTCGTCGTCACCGGTGTGAACACGTAGATTATGTCTCTTAACACTGTATCTCTTCTTGAACTTCGCGTTGCAGATGTCACACTTGAAGAAATAGTCAGGCTGATGGATCACTTTGTGCTTTTCCAAGGCTCTTTCACTTTGATACGCTTTCTTACACATGTCACATTTGTAGGGCTTGCAATGGACGATCGCCACGTGGTCTTCCACCATCAGATCATTGATGAAGCGTTTCCCACAAAACGGGCAGATGTTCTTGATCTTCGCAAGGACGTCGTCCACTTCAGCATCGCCCTTCTGGCTGGATTCCGAAGACAACTGATTCTCAGATTTTTCAGTGGGTTCCTTGTGCACTTCTAGAGGGTCCTTCGACACTGGTTGATTAAAATTAATCGACGGAACCGGGTTCGATTGTCCTTCAGGTGTTGTTTTCTCATCTTCGTGCTTGGACGCTGGGACCACTATTAAGTAGTATGACGAACACTTGTCTTGCTTCGTTTGTTGTCTTACGATTCGTACTCTGAAACAAAGATAACGCATGTCAGCGCACAAAAAGCTTGTAGATCAATGTTGAAATTTATATCTTAGAGAATCATTGAATAGAAATTTCTCGATCGACGGAAACATTTTTTTCGTCATTCATCGTTTTCTTTTCTTCTGTAGAGAAACACGTGAGAAGACAGGTTCAAGCTTTGAAGTATACTGATATTTGTAACTTACTTTCTTCATTGTTTAATGCATACTTTATTGCAAACTGTGTCGTTTAAATACGAATTTAAACAGTCACTTTTGTGTTCCAATAAACACAATAAACAGTAATTAGAAGAAAAACTTGACACATGGTACTAATTATAAAATATACTATAAAATTTTTTTTTATTAGTTTCGTGTAATATTACAAAAAGTGAGTTTCTTCTGCTTCATAAATAAATGAAGATTAGGTAAATTAGGAATCCTTAGAAGAGTATCTAAATAAAAGGGCGAAGTTTTGATCTTCTTAATTAGAGGTTTACTTAAGTGCTTTACTTAAGTATTTATACCAAGTATATCACTATAATAATATATTATTATCTTAATATACTTAAATCCTCCAAATAAAAGTTATAATAATTTCTCTTCAAGATATCCACGTCAAGTTCCAATAAATGAAATGATAAAATGAAAAACTCCAATTAATATAAAAATCCTAAATAAATCGAGGAACCTAAATAAATTTGTCCTCAGCAACATACAATCTACACACCTTAAAAAATACCTCAATACACATCTTCTCATAGTGTCCACTATATACATTTTCAAACGAAACCACTCTTACAACAACCAGTAATACTCGCCGAACTCCTAAGCCTTATCTAAAATTTTCTTCGCAATTTCCGCTATTTTCGTGGTGGTAGTCAACGGCGGAAGTGGTCCAGGGTGGTGTTTCCTATGCCTACGTAAACTGGAACCCTGTGTAAAATCTTCACCGCAAACATCACACTTATATGGTCTAACACCATCGTGGGTCAACACATGAGTGTAAAAACTACTTCTAGCAGTGAAAGCCCCCTTGCAGATGGAACACACAAAGCTAGGCTTATGCTTCAGATCCTTGTGCTTATGCAAAGCTGAAGGAAGATCAAAGGACTCTTCACAAACGTTACACTTGAAACCAACCTGATGCTGCACCAAATGATTCACCAACTGATTGTTATTCGTAAACTTCTTGAAACACAAATGACAAAAATGATGATAACTAACTTTCTTGTCTGTCTTCAAGTGTTTCCACTCGTGACCCACTATGTTCTTCACTGATTTACCGCAATACTTGCAAACGCTAGGCAGTTTGGTATGAGTCCTCTTGATATGATCAGACAAATCATTCTTCAATTTATAACGTTTGTCGCAGTAATCGCAAATGAACTTCGCTTCAAGGTTGCTGTGGAAACGAAGCTGATGACGCCTCAGTCCAAGCTTATGCTTGAACTTCTGAAGACAATTGACGCACTCTAAGAGAGTGAGGTCGACCTTGTGCGACACCTTCTCGTGCTCCCTAAGGGCCACCATTGAATAATAACCCTTCTGACACTTGTAGCAAGTGTAAGGTCCCTTGTGAATCCTCTTATAGTGCTTCTGCATCAGGTTCTCGTCGTCGAATTGCCTCTGACATACTGGACAGACATTTCGTAGGGTCTCTAGTATCTGATCCACTTCCTCTTTTTGGCTGTCCCCTTCGGGCACCTTTTCAACTTCCTTCTTCTGTTCAGAGCATTTCCCTGTGCAGAGAATTTCATTTCTCTGCACTTCTGATATTTTGTTTCTTTCATTGTTCATTTCAATTCTGTTCCACGGATGATCGTTCTCATCTTCGACATAACATGGAAGAAATATGCTTTCTATCGGTAGAATTTCTGTATTCGTTGAATTCGTCAAATCGTCTTCGATTTTGATTATCGGAATACAATTATTCGATTCGATTTTTAAAGGATCACAATTTATTTTATCGTGCCATGGATAATTATTTGGGACAGTGTAGGTTTGTTTCAGATCGTGTTCAACATCTTCGTGGTTCCTTTTTATTTTCTTGGGCATTTTATTCTTTCTTTGCGTATTATCTCTGTTTCGATGATCGAGGATTAGCTGCCGTATCGCTGACCTGAAACATCGATTCGTTTAGTTAGTCGTAAGCAAAGATCCACGCGACTAATTAATTAAATGACACTGAGATATTCGATAAGGCTTCCTTAACAGTCTCCTGTGCACGAGTGTTCTCATGAAAAGGGAAGAAAGGAGAAGAATTGTATAGTGAAAATTGAACGATTTCTATAAATGATTTAATTGGAGGAACGAAAATATCAGTACAAATAACAGATGCAAAGAATATATGATTACTGGATCGTTCAATTAACATTTTGACTATCATCTTAAAAATAAAAAATAAATAAACTTAGAAACTTAAAAACATAATTAGATATAAATATTTTTATCAGACAGTCAAAGTGTTAATTAATGTTTTACTTACAATAACAATGTCACAGTTTCTAGACACTTTATAAATCTTTTTTTTACACTGTGAACTATGTACATTTTTAAATGCTGACCTGAGTATTATCGCTGGTAACTGATACTGAAAACTTTCAAAAAAAATTGCATATAATTTAAACGTAATAAAAGTCAAGGTAGTAGTGACTTGAATAAAAAAAAGAAAGAAAACAATACTGTATATCATTTGATAAACATAAATGCATAAAGGTAATGAAATTATGATATATATAATGCATATTTTATAAATAAAAGCCAACAAAAAATTGTTTTTAAAAATGAAAACAAATGGTATAGATTTAAGTGTGAAAAATGTCTCCACCTCTTTAATTTTTTAAAAAGGGTGATAATTTCACTGAATTTGCTTTGCAACGTTCAAGAACTTAAGATAATAGAAAATTATAAAAATTTTCAAATAATTTTTAATATGCATCAAGGGATGTTTAGTTTAGAATTTTAGGAGATTGCTTCTACCCCATGGTATACACAAGGGTTAAAATAGACTAGAATGGAAATCGGAAAATTTTTTCGACCACTCTGTAATATTTGCTAAATTAATATTGCAATTAAACAAATACTAATAATTACACGAAATGTAAGAAATTAAAACAAAACTTCCCCAAATTTATATAAAATCTCGAACAACATTAACTTGACAAACACCCTTCTAAATAATATATTTTCTCATTTAATTCGTCCATATTCAACAAATATAAAAAACAAAACAAAAATTACGTCGACCATTGCGAGTTTTCGTTCAACAAATCTAACGTTTTTAACATCAACTTAGCAAAAATCCTCCTCTCATCCCTTATCTCTTTTAACCCAATTAAAATTTTGTTCAACAAATAACATGAAAAGAAAACATGAAAAAAAAAACGAAGAATCTATGCCGATTATTATAAGTCTAATGTTCATTGATTTCGAGTTTGGTGAGACACAACGGTGGTGGTGGTGGATGATTTCCAGGATGCTTACGACGATGACCCATCATGGTACTCCTCTGTGTGAAACTCTGTCCGCAAAGATCACAAATATAAGGTCTTTTACCAGTGTGCGTTAACTGATGCACCCTAAGCGTATTGGTCCTAGAGAAGGGCTTCAAACAGACCTTACACTGATAAGGCCTTTCCCCGGTATGCATTCTCAGATGCAACTTCAAAGAATAATTATTCGCGAAGGTTTTGCCGCAAGGATGACACTTGTAAGTCTGCGAGTGAACAGACACGTGCTTGCGTAGATTCTGTTCGTTAGCATAAATCTTACCACATATATTACACTTGTAACTATCAATCTTTTCCTTAGGTAGTACGTGCTGGTAGAAGTCCTTGCTCGATTCGAAATTCTGTTCGCAAAGTGTGCGTAGCATGCTGGGTTGACGATCATTATGTTTCTTCAGGAGATGATTGGCCAGTCCGTTCAACAATTTGAACTCTTTGGGACAGTGGTCGCAGCGATAACGAGTAGTGTCTCTGTTGGCCTCCTCTTCGTGGGTCGCTTCATGGTTCAGGATATTCTTCACTACCCTACCACAGAACCTGCAGATGTACTCTGGTGGGTTCAAATGGATCCTGTCTATGTGGATACCTAAGTCGTGCTTCAATTTAAAGCACCTGCCACAATAATCACAGGTGAACTTTGGGTCAACGGTGCTGTGCTTGCGGATGTAATGATTCTTCAGGCCCAGAGTGGTCTTGTATTTCAATTTGCAAATAGAACACTGCAGGAACGAAGCTCCTTCGTGGGTCTTCTGGTGCTCCTCCAGGGCTGCTTCAGACCCGCACCTCTTTTGACACATGTCGCAGCTGTATCGCTTTCTGTGGGTCCTGCGAACGTGCTTCAACATCTCGGTTTGATTTTTAAAATTCTTCTGACACAATGGGCAGCTATTTTGCAGGCTCTGATCCACTGTTTCTTCAGAAGTATTTTCGGATTCATTCTTTTCTTCCTCAGGCTTCTTCTCTTCGGTATCCAGAAATTTCTCTTCCATGTTCGTATACATTTCTTGAGGTGCTGTGTTTGGTTCTTCTTCCTTCTCTTCGGTGATCTTCTCAGTTTCTTTAAAGTTCTTCCGAGCTTCTTCAAGATTTTTCCGGGCTTCTTCGAGGTTTCTTCGAAGGATATCTAATTCGAATGGGGCAGGTACTGCAACTCTCTTGATTTCGTACGACACTGATCCATCGTCACTCTGAAATGGTATCAACACACTTTTGATTATGTTCAACCCAGATTTGTCCTTCACTTCGACAGGTACCAAGGTGTTCTTCACTTGTTTCGTTATTGGGTTTCTAACAGGCACTAGAACTGTTTTCACTGCACCAGTTGAATCTCCAGTTTTATTTATAACTAAGTCACTGTCAGCTTTATCGTCGTCTTCGTTCTCGGAGTCTCTTTCCACTTTCATCAGCAACGCATCGGAACGATCTTCCTTGGAAGCTGGAATACTTTTACCTTTGTATGCCGCTCGATCCTTACCCTGGCGCAGGGATGCTTTCGCGAGCCTCCTGAAACACCGATTCGTTTAGTCAGTAGCAAGAAAGGATCAATACGGTGATGTTGGACAAGATACATTCTTGAATTGTCGACATAAACGATCACAGAGTCTTTTCCACAAGATTCGTGGCCATCTTGCTGGGGTTAGCCCTTTCAGTGTCTGAAGGAGAGGAGAGAAATGGATTCATTTCGACGATTTGCTAGGAGAGTGATATAACTGAAAAAAAAAAATAAATAAATTTTTTGAAAATCTTCAGCAATTGACACTGTTTCGGCTAGTCCTTATCCAAGGGTTAATTAGTCGCATTGCTATTACATTCTGGGTCAAATATTTATTTTTATCAAGAATTTTAAGGCCATCTGCTCTATTAACATTTTAACTAAAGGTGACGAGTTAACTCGTCAGTGGAAAATGCTCCTCCAGGGGAACGACGAGTTAACTCGTCATGGGACAATGCTCCTTCAGAGGAACGACGACTTAACTCGCAATTGGAAAATGCCCCTCCAGAGGGATGACGAGTTAACTCGTCGTGGAATTTTGAAGACGACCCACGTAAATTTAAATTCAATACATTTTTAACCTTTCAACTTAGCATGACGAGTTAACTCGTCATATAACTATTTGACACAGTAACTTCCCAACTAAAAAATTAGTAATTTCGCAACGTACATAAAATGAAATTTTAAAATTAATTAAAAAATTGCAGGAATTACAGAAATACCTTAAAATTAATAGTCCTTTAAATGTATCACTCTTCTAACAAATCGACGAGTTAACGAAGAATTCTGCAGTGAAAACGATCGTGCAATTTCTGAAAAGGATTTAATTAAAGGAACAAAGAATTCAGTACAGACGATAAATGTTTCGAACATTGCACTGAAACAATCTCTGACCTCGTGATTAATATGAATTTACAATCGATGCTACTTACATCGGTAAAGTGTGTCACAGCTTCTAGAAACAACCAACGTTTATGGAACTCGCTTACATTCTCTCTCTCTCTCTCTTACACAAAATTCCAGACGAATCCAATTACATATCAACGATTTATTCGCCTTCTATTTGCACTGTTCCAATTTCCTACCTTATTTTCATCGTTGCATCTTACAGATTTGCTTTAAGTACATACGATTATGTACACGTTTCTGTGTTCGGTACGGTGCATCGTATCGCTGATATGAACCGATGAACCATCTGCCTCGAAGAGAAGCAAATTTCACCAAATCATCGTGTATTACCTTTTACGTTCATCGGCATTCGATTAAACAAATCAATTATACAAATATAATACTCGTTCATAAACGCAGACCTTGAATGAAAGCTCTTTATTCAATCGTTATAAACACTTTAACACTTTCAGACCCGAAATATTACTCCCCTCCAGTTGCCTGGCAACCGTTCGTCGAACAATCTCGCAGTTTTATTAATCGCTAATTAACAATGGGGTCCCGCGTAATCGTGTGGCATGCAAACAAAAGGGTAACCTCCGTCGATAACGTAAATCCCGACAATGGAACCGATTCAACTGATTCGAAAGAACATCGTGAGATAACCGCAGCAAGCATCGAAACATGTAACGTTAAAACGAGTAATAGAACTGTAGCGGCGGATGAACGAAACGTGGTCACGGAACGATTCGTTCGTGGCCAATCACAGCGAACAAAAGTGCGTCTGCGCAATGATGAGCACCAATGAAGAGCGGGTCCGTTACAGAGAGTTCTAGCCTCGTGGGGGGAGGAAGGCACTCGGATTAAACGCAGGTGGACTTCTGATGAGCCGTCAAGTTTCCTTGGCAGGAGAATCCACGGTTGCAGATCTGACAGACGTAAGGTCGTTCCCCCGTGTGCCCCCGCCTGTGGATCGTCAACGTCGACCTCTGCGAGAAGGCTTTGGGGCATTGGTCGCATTTGTACGGTTTCTCACCGGTGTGAACCCTCCTGTGCATCCTGAGATTCTCGGAATCGGTGAAACCTTTGCCGCATATGTCGCAGACGTACGGTTTCTCCCCGGTGTGGATGCGCCTGTGCTTCTTCAGATGCTCGGCGCTGCTCAGACTCTTGCCGCAGTAGTCGCATAGATACAATTTAGTGGGATTGTGGCTCTCCTTGTGACGGAACAGGGATCTCTTCGTGGCCAGGACCCGGCCGCAGATGTCGCAGGTGGTGCTGGTCACTTTGTTGGCCTTCATTTCAGGATGCATGCGTCTGCAGTGGGCCGATAACTGTCGTCTCAGGTAGAATGCGTTGTTGCACAGCTGACAGACGAATGGCTTGTCTCCGGAATGAATGTTGTAGTGCTCTTGAAGATCTATCGCCTTACGGAAACGCTTGTCGCAATCGTTGCACTTGAAGGGCAGGTCTGCCTTGTCGGTGTGCCGCAGCATGTGTATGCTCAGCGCTGCCAACACCGTGGTCTCGTAATCGCACTCCTTGCAGACGTAGCTAGGGTAGAAATGAGTCTTCTCGTGCCTGGTCAAGTCGCGGAACAAACGGAACTTCTTCGGACAGTGTTTGCACGTAAGGTCACCTACGGTGTGTCTCATCAGGTGTTTCTGATAATTGCTTTTGTGTCTGAACACCTTGTTGCAGGTCTTGCAGACGAACTCCGGTTCCGATTTCTCTTTCTTCACCTTCAGATCGGACGAATGATTCACCGAATTGTTACCGCCCTTCCGGCTACCCTTGCGACCAGCGTGCTTCTTCATGTGCTTCCTCAGGTTCACGTACGTTCTGAACACGCGTCCGCACTGGGAACACGTGTTCTTACGTTTACTCTTGTGCTCGAGATCGTGATTGTCCAGCAGGGCCTGAGAGGCGAAGAACACGCCGCAGAGCTTGCAGTGGTAGGCCAACGGTAGATCCTCTTCGTCGTCCTCGTCGTTCACCTCCTGCTTGATGAAGTCAGCCGGCTGATCGGCGGGCAGGCTGACCGGGTCGTTGGCGGGCGCCGATTCCGGGCATTTAACTGGCGATTCGTCGGAATCGGCGTCCTTTTTCACCAGCTCGAGCTTCGTCAACATTGCCATCGGATAATAGTCTTCGGAGAAACGTTGCTGCTGGTCGTACCTGAAATTGAAAAATTTGAAGGGCCACATCAGTATCGAGAGTCCTGATTGGGCGATCACGTCGTCTTTCAGCCCTAGGACACCACCGGTTCCTGGGTCCTATACAATTTCAACGTGACGCACCTGAATTCGTTTAATTAATGTTTGGAAATTGATTATTTTCTCGAGAAACTTTTACGAGGCCTGCTAATATTTCATATAACGAAACGATTATTCGTGAATATGGTACTGAATTACGGTTTCTAACAACACACTGCTCGTTTATGGACTATGTTAAACAGTTCTTTTTATTTAACAACATTTTTACATGTCATGGTAATTGAATTGGGTGAGAAAATACTTAAAATTTCTTCTCTGGATCTCCTTTTTTCTTCTAAGTAAATACAAAATGACTGAACAGTGGGAAGAGTATGGGAAGATTAGACGGATAAAAATATATATAAAAATATAATTCTGATAGCTTTCAGTTCACAGCTTTGGCATCAGTGAATTTCAGGATCAGGACCGAATCTGTAGCTTCTATTCAGCCTACACCTTTACTTCGATTCCTATTTAAAAATCTAACGCTTACGTATCGCAGTGGAAAGTTAAAAAATAACGTACACGGTTTGTCCCAAAACACTTGCCATAAAAATACATTAAAATGTTTTAACGAAACCCGTTGAATCTTTGAAACACCCTCAAATTTGAAAATAAAATATAGTCATCCTTAGGACAAACCATGCACGATCAGGTATGAGAGTAGCATCCCGTCCATTTAATTTCCATCGATCACTCTGACTGATCTACCGCAACATTAACAGAGTGAAC